GGAGTCTGCAGGAGCATGAGGGTGATAGTTCCCCTATACTCTACACTGGTGAGGCTGCACCTCAAGTACTGTGTTCAGCTTTGGGCCCCTCACTACAAGAAAGACATTGAAGTGCTGGAGTGTGTCCAGAGAAGGGCAATGAAGCTGTGAGGGGTCTGGAGCACAAGTCTTATGGGGAGTGGCTGAGGGAACTGAGGTTGTTCAGTCTGGAGAAGAGGAGGCTCAGGGGAGACCTCACTGCTCTCTGCAACTCCCTGAAAGGAGGTGGTGGTGATGCTAGGGGTTGGTGTCTTCTCCCAGGTAACTGGTGATAAGACAAGAGGGAATGGCCTCAAGTTGCACCAGGTTGGATATTAGGAAAAATTTCCTCCCAGAAACAGTGGTGAGGCACTGGAATAGCCTGAGCAGGGAGGTGGTGGAGTCACTAACCCTGGAGGTGTTTAAGGAAAGAGCAAATGTGGCATTGAGGGACATGGTTAGGCGGTATGGTCAGGATGAATTGGCAATTGGACTAGATGGTCTTAGTGGTTTTTCCAAACTTAACAATTTTATGATTCTATGAAAAAAATGTAGGCTTTCTTTTCTAGAAAACTTAATGTGTTGATTTGGTCTGGGCTTTGGGACATATCCATCATCTGCTAGATCTCTGTGCCTTGGCTGTGCTGCTACTTCTGCTCCTCAAAATCAGCTGGGTTCCTCTCCCAGCCCAAAGGAGCCAATGACAGACATTCCACATGGTTGTAACTTGGGGGAGAAATCTGTTCAGTTTTAAGTGGTTGCATAAGAAAAGTCAAAAGGACTCATTTCTTCCTGCCAAAGTTGGGAGTACAGCAGTGAGGTTACTCCACTTCCTCTGAAAGGCAACAGCAGGGCTGGTTGGAGGAAGAGACCAAAAACCTACCCACCTTTGTGTAGGAAGGGGGACATCAACAGAGATGGTGCACCTTTAGACCCAATGTAATGGCATGGAAAACACCACAAATTTAATGCTTACACACAGCAGCACCGCTAGAGCTCAGTCCCTAAGCAGGCTGGATATTAAATTGATCAAAGTGATAATGAAAGTGGGAATTACTCCATCTCAGCTGACACAAGGCAGGTGACCTTATTAAAAAATATGCCAGTGTATTTAATGGGGTAGGGCAGTTTCTTGGGGAATTAATGATTAATGTGGCTATAACTTTGGAGATCTCATAGCTAATGCCCCTGGAAAAAGTCTCTCTTCCACTATAAGAAATGGCTGAAATTCTTGGGCTGAGGCAGTCTGAATGCAGGTGCATGGACTCAGCTGAGAGGTGTCCCATGCAGAGATTGGAAGCTGAGGGCTATGGAAAAGCAAGGGAGCAGGGCAAGCAAACCCAGCACATTTCTTCACACTCTTCCAACCTCCAATCACTTGCACTCCAGTGTCTTCCTGTGATGGATATGCTTGCTGTGTATTCAGGAACAGTCCTCTCTTATCAATATTCCCAGCTACTTCCTTCAGTGCACCTGTGAGTAGAGGGAGCTTGCTGAGATTTATAGAATCATTAAGGTTGGAAAGACCACTGAGCTCATCTAGTCCAACCACCAACCCTTCCCTGCAATGCCCACCATTCATGTCCCTCAGTGCTACATCTACCCTTTCCTTAAACACCTCCAGGGACGGTGACTTCCACACCTCCCTGGGCAGCCTGTGCCAGTGCCTCGCAACTCTTCATAAGAAGAAATTTTTCCTAATATCCAATCTGAACCTTGTCATCCCAAATCCAGCAAGAAAATTCTCTATCTCCAATGTGGTGTTAGACAGAAAGAATCCTTTATTCCTCATGATACGTACTGGGTGACTTGATAAACAAGCACACTCTCGGAGTTCAGGTTCCACATTTAAATGTAAACAGTTAAGACCTACATATGCAGTATATTGGCATTCATATTCATTCTTTTTCATTGGTATATGCTAATGTCCCTCTGGGCTTGCATGGTAGCATCCAGGGTGGTCGGACCCTCACTTACTTCATCCTCATTTTTGTCTACTATCAGCTTCACTGCTGAGGCTTTTGGCTGACATTTAGTTGTTTTTCCCCAGCTTGGCAAATTCCCACTCCTTGTTAGGCCACGAGTAACTTCCAAAACAGTATATGTGAAAATCCAAAGAAAATGTCCTTGCACCTGGTGAAACGCAGAGATAAGCAGTTTATTATGACTCCAGTGCTTCTTGTAAAGCAGAATTAGGCTGTTCACACACCAAGCAAAGTTGAAACAGAAAGTTTTAGAATTAGCTCATTGATTCTATTAACTCATTGATTCCTCTTGCTATATTAATATTGGTCTTTAAACTAACACACTGAACCCCACTGCTAAACAAATCGGCCTGTATCAACTTCCCCTGGCACAGCTTGAGGCCATTACCATTCATTCTGTTAGGAGTAAATATCTTTGCTGCTGCTTGCTGTAGGCTTGGGGAAAACAGGCCTTTTCACACATTCTTTGCAAATAAAAAGTAGTATAGGAAAAACTATCCCAAACATAAGCTAAGGGTTCACGCCAAGGAGCATTAGGAATGTGAGCAACAGGCAGGAAAAAGAAGATCCAAGAAATTGCCATTAAATAACTCATTACAGGACTGAAAACCCATGTTGGGGTTCCAGCTGCCAGGTGTGTGTGGTAAGTGGCAAACCCAACAAGAAAATCCTGGTCTGGGAAAGGAAGTTTTGCTGGAAGGGATCAGACACGAGGAGTCTGGCTGCAGAAGCTAAGAATCATCAAATCATAGAATGGTTGGGTTGGAAGGGATTTTTAAGAAGCTAAGGAATGTGATGTTGTGCAAAAGAGGAGGTTTCCAGAAGTCTTCTAACCTTCTGATAACCTCTAGTGACCCAATGCAGGGAGACCAGATTCTCTCAGCTTCAGAAATACCATCAGAGACTGCTTTGGACCTCATGGGGCCTGGCAATTGCAGTTGCTGCCCTTCCCATAAGAGGGCCATAAAATGATTGTGTAAGCTGCAGAACAAGAGACAAAATGAACACTAGCCTCCACCCAAAGCAAGGGCAAACAGAAAGGTGCTTGGGAATGAGAAGCATCTGGGAGCTGGTGGCTTTAGCTCAGTGCTGTTTTGGGTGTAAGACTGCAGACCTAGCAGAGAACTGGGAAAAAGGCATAGGAATGGATGTGATAAAGAGCCTGAAGTAGACTAGTTCTGAAGAGGGTGATACTGGTTAGTTGGTGTGGATGGCAAAGACAGTGGGGGGAAAAAAGGAAGACTGTCTTCAGGTCAGAAGCATTATGAAGCATAAGTTCGGGGCTTACAGTGTGAGATTACTCACAGACCACCAGCATAGTTTGCTTTACCCACACTCTTGGTTATATAAAGAGGAGGCCTGGTCATACAGTAAAGCTTCTGAAGTTAAAATGAAGCAAGGGAAGCTTATAAACCCAGGACAAGCCTTAGGAAAGTGATACTGAGGTGCAGTTTTCATTTCTGGGAAGAAAACAGCAGCTGTGCCATACAGGCCAACTTCCTCCACAGTTTGACAGCCAGCCTTTGTCAGTGGCCACAGAAACATTTGCCATTTGCGGGTGGCTCATTATGACTCACCAAGAAGCCGACAGGCTCTAGCAGCCATGGCTGTCTCCTGTGCAGAAATGGAGTGGAAATATCTGAACTACAGAGAAACCCCAGAAAGTCCCCAAAAATCCGCCCCTCAAAGCTTATCCTCTAGCTACAGAAAACTTGCAGCTTCTGAAACAGATACTCATAAGTATGGGCTTGTGCAGGAACTTTATCGAGTTTAAAGATCTTTTTCAAGGCTTAATAACAGGTCTGACTTGGTAAGAAAGACTCTCAAAGGGCAACAGATGCCCACCAGGAACCTCTGAAAGATAAGTCACTGGAGGAGTAAAAAGATGAAATGGGCATCAAACTGTTTTGTGTGAAAAGATATGAGAGGTGGAACACATGTCAAAAAGTCAACTGTCACAGATTTATAATATAAGTGATTTTCCTTCATATTTAGGGTGAATCACAAATCTATTGTACAAGCACTTTTTCCTTCCCGAGTGCTCCTGGACTATTTTGAGCTTACCAAAGTTGCAATGTAATGGTAACTAGAAGAGATGACATATTTCTAAATGATGACAGAGTTCTTTTGTTAGTGTTTTCTTACAGTTCCTGGGCAGGACAGGATCTCCAGGCCAGCTAAAGCCAAGCAAGGTGATACAGTAATAGAAACAATCAGAGGAAATAGAGAAGGAAAGGAGCTAGAAGATCACCAGGTCTGGACCAGTATGACCTGTAAAGCAGCTGAAAAAGCTATGCCCAACCTGCTCCTCAAAATCATCAAAAGAAAATTCCAGCCTCTTCAGACCATCTAATCTACAGTTACCTGTTTAGCACTACAAAGCTTCTCTAATGTCTGATCTTCACCTCTACTGATGCTATCTATGCTGATTAGTTTTTCTATCCACAGAGAATGCGGAGAATCATAAAATCATTTGAGTTGGAAGGGACCCTTAAAGGCCATCCAGTCCAACTCCCCTGCAATGAACAGCGACACCGACAGATACATCAGGTTGCTGAGAGCTCCAACCAGCCTCACCTTGAGTGTCTCCAGGGACGGGGCCTCTCTGGACAACCTGTGCCAGTGCCTCAGCACCCTTACGGTAAAAAACTTCTTACTTATATCCAGCTTAAATCTCCCCTCTTTTAGTTTGAAACCATCTCCCCTTGTCCTGTTGCAACAGACTCTTCCTTATAGCTCCACTTTAGATAATGAAAGACTGCTCTCAGGTCTCCCTGGAGCCTTCTCTTCTCCAGGCTGAACAGCCCAAGTTCTCTCAGCCTGTCAGAATCAGCTACTCCCTCTCATATTTGCATCAGGCTTTGCTCCAAATTTTTATATATACACAAATTTTATATATATATATACACACACAATGTTCAGACTTTCTAGTTTTTCTGATTTTTGTTTTTCCACTGGATAACTATATATTATTTCAGTCATTCCTGACAGATATTTTCCAGATCTTCACATGCTTTCTGCTTATTTTGCACCCAGCAACAAGTTGCAGAGCTAGAACTATGAGCAATGCAGGCAGCAGGCTGAGGGCGGCTGTGCTTTGCAGATCAGCTTGCTCACAGCCTGCAGGTGGAGTCGTGTTCCTCTCCTGACTGCTGGGGCACCTACAGCTGAGGACAGACTCCCAGTTAGTGCAGACAGCTGAGGCTTAACACTGTGCCTGGTGGAATTAATTTTCCTCCAGTAACCCAGGCTTGTGACTGGCTTTGGATCACATCCATAAGTGGTAGTGCTCAGTAGAAGACAAAATCTGAAAGCCCCAGTGGTCAGGCTTGATGCTTCCAAAGGTTCATATTTGTGAAGTTAGCAAATACCCAAATGTTTGTGAAATCCATTGTGAGCCATCTTTGTGCACTTCTCTAGTGCAAATAATAGCTGCATGAGTCCATTTGTGCTCTGCTGTTATGCACATCAATCTGCATTACGAAACAGCCTTATCTCCATGCCTTGTCACTACCAGTATCACCTATAAAATGCGGTTGTATTTAACAAAAGAACACCAATTTCTCCATCACAGTTAGCCTGTCCTCTATTGGAACATATTTAATTACAACTCTCTTTTCCTGCACAAGAGGATAGATGAACAATGAGGAGGATGCAGCGCTGCTGCTCCTGAGCAGCTGGTGAGGGGTGGTTTTTCACACAGGTAAGTACAGGTCCCCGCTGGAAATTAATTGGAAAAGGGAGCAGAAAAGCACTCTGCATTGGAGCAGTCGCGTGTTTAAGTTGAGAATTGTGCTCTGCTGGAGACCAGAGAGCCTTACACGCTTCTGCCTTCTTTGTATTGAAAAGCCTGCTGCAAATTCAGGCCAAAAATGAAGTTCTCACAACGTCAGAGGCTCTGCGTTTGAAGCCTGGGAGCGCTGCAAGATGATATCAGATGCGACGGTGCGCTGTCTGGCCTTTGGTGTTTGTGCAGACAGATGTGCTCATGTGCTGCGTGTGATTAGATTACTTAGTTTTAGTGAACCATGTGAGCTGAGCTAGCATTTCCCTCGATGTGTCACTTCATCTCTCCTCCCACTTGCTGCAAGCACTGCTGCGATGTGACTGTCCGGTGCCAGCCTTGTGCCTGCCTGGGAGATCCTTTTCAGGTAGGTTTGTGCTTTCTTCTTTTTGAACAGCCACGTTATTGCTGGCTGGCACGCGTGGGAATGCCAGGGATTGCTCTAAACAGCAGAGAAGGGAGGGCAGAAGAGGGCAGATAGAAAGAAAACTCCAGCTGTTCCTCTGCTGGACTCTGCTTTCTTCTTTCCTATGTTACACTGTGGATACACACGTTCTAGCTCAGGCAGGGCATAGAAGGCACAGGAGAAAGAAGAACTCTGCCAGGCAGAGCTGTTTCAAGAGCTTTGTGGAGACTGTGCACATTGCATGGCACTTAGGAGCAGCACAAGACCGAGGCAGTTTCATTCTGATGCAAGGAGCAAAGGATGGGGAGCATCTTTATGTGCAGAAGATGTGGTTAGCTGCACTTCTGAACCAAAAAAAAAGAGAAACAACCAGTGAGGAGAAATTGCTTGCTTGCAGTATCCTCTCTCAATTTTTAATAGTGGTGCTGCTTCAGTCTGCCAGCTTTGTGTATGAGGGATGTGAAAATGAATGTCACGATACAGATATTTCTGTCCTAACAACATAATAATGCCAGGTAACCCCAAACAGACGTAGAATATGTAATGTTTGTCACTACTAACCAGGGCCAAATAGGCATTTGCTACCATGATGTGCAAAGCCCATGCACCTTGCTTTTTAATTTGCTAGCAAATTAGCTGAAACCAATTACCTATATTGATTAAGCCAGAAGCAGTTTACTAAATACTAACTATATTCCTAGGATAAAAACCCTTGGTGACTGGAAAGGTCTGTTCCCATTCATCCCCAGGGAAGTCATTTCAATAGCTAATCTTACTGCTGAGTGTGTTTCCACTGTGTGAACTGTACTAAAATCTTCTCTAATGCTGCAATGAGAATTGCCACAATGAAGGTCCAGGGAACAATAAAAAGAAGCTGCACTGCAGAATCTAATTCAGCAGCAGATTTAGTTCTACCAGCACTCCTCCTACATAGCCTCTGTTGAAATGCATAGTATAGTTGATCTCTTCTGCCCAGAAACTCTGTTTTTGCATTCAAAATATGCCAAGGTCGAATACAACCCACGCCATGAGAAACCACAGATATCATGGGTTTTTCCATTGCAGTTGCTCATGTGGCTTGAATGCTCTACTTCTTCATTTCCTTCCTCTGGTGTGTATGAACGTGTGTGATTTCTGCCTATAACCCAAGGTATGGCTATTATTTCAGAGGAATCATCACAAGGTAGAACTAGTTAGAATCAAAAATGAAACAAACAAAGCAAAAATAAGACAAAACAAATACTTTTGATAGCTTGGATTTCCACAGCAATTATTTGCATGTATATTTTCAGATTTTTAAATAAGAACCATGCTGAAATATCAAGGCACCAGGATTAAGTGGCATCAAGCATGGTACCAGAGCTGGTTAGTACCAAAGGATCGTGGTTAGTCTTCTTTGTTGAAAGGCAAAGAAAAGACTAGCCTTGCATTTCACTCCTATGACAAGCAGATTTCTCTCTTCTTTTCTCCATGTAGCTTATTTGTTTACTGTGGACCATAGTAGTAGCATGAACTTAACAGCTAAGAGTAAACATTTCTATATTCTTAGTCACATACACACATACATTTATATGTATACATTCATATACATATATACATAAATACATATAATTCTTAAGTCTTCCTCTTTAGAAGCACCTGGGCTGAGTTTCAACAAAACCCAAATACTCTGGAGGATCTCAACCTTTGGTACTTTGGAAAAGCTGCCTGAGCTCTCTGCCGCAAACTGGGGCATCTCCAAAGAAATCCTGACTTCTGCAGGACAACTGACACCTTCTCCCAGTTTGTGTTACTGAGGTGTTTGTCTATGTTTAGTGCTATAACAAATTATTAGGAAGTAGCAGTGTTTTGAGGCATTCTGGGCAGTTCTGTGCACCCTGGGACAGCATTCACTAATCATGTGTGAATTTTCTTTCATGGTGATATTTGCTGTGTATTTCTTTGTTAGAGTTGGACAATGATGTCAGCTAAGTATTCACCTTTCTGAATCCTCCCTTAACAAGCTGTACTGTTGGGTTGTGATGGCATTTTCCAGTTGACTTCTTGGCAGTGTCTGGCAGTTCTCCATCATTGCCTAGGACTTTTGCACACCTCCATTCCAATCCCTTGGTTCCACCAGAGCCAAATGTTGGTGAAGAAGACTACACTGGAAGAAGCCCAGCATGACAATGGCTGCTCCTACTTATTCTTGTTGAGTCCTCAGTGAGATGCTGTTCTTGAAGAATCTGCTGCCTGTCTGGGCAAGCTTGACTTCCAGTTCTGTCCAGTGTTCTGCATTGGTGAACATTCTGAGGGACATTCTGGGCACAAGTCCTCACAAAGTATCTTCTGTTCTCCTTTCATTACAGCTTATGACTGTACCTGATGGGGCTGAAGACGCTGCAGTCCTCAGTAGCTTTGAACTGAGTGTTTGGGATCAGGATGGGAGGAAACAGCCCCCGAGGGCACCAAGAATCTACCAGTGCCTGAGACAGCCTGTCTACGCAAGTTGAATGGTATTTCCACCTTTGCATTGTAGCACATTGGATTGCCCAATGAAAGCATTTACTGGTGCAATCTCAGATAATCTGACATTGTTGCAGCGTTATTTGATGTTGGATCAACATGACATGATGTTGGAAAAAGCTTATATCTCCAAGATGTGCTGTTTTATGTCAGGAGATCCACATTAACAGACTCACAGTTGGAAGGGAGAGTTGCCAATCATTTCACCTCAGGCAGAGTCACGCCACAATCTCTGACTGCACGAGCATGGCAATGTACCTGATGTATGCATGGCTCTCAGAAACAAGAATGTCTTGTTAGGAAAACAAAAGTTAGCTTAAATAGTTTCAATAGTAGGAAGCAAGCCTGGTTCCTTGTAATGTAAGCCAGGAGCTCAACACAACTAATACACGACAGAAAAAATTTTGCAGGTTTCAAGCTTACAAATGAAGAAAAATCTAGATTCAATATTGTTCTGATATAATGCTACACAGAGACAAAAAAGATTCTTAGGTTTTATGCAAACAAGTGTCGATAGCCTTACATGGTGGCATGGTTGCTGCACAAGCCTTTCATAATTCTTAAGCAGCAATGATTGATGAAACTTGGATAGGACAGAAAAAAGTTCCTATAAATGAAAAAGAAATCAGTTATAGAAGAGGTAAATCTGAGGGTTTTTTTTTCTGTTATATTGCACACATAGGTGTTTCATGGCTGGCTAATTCTTTAAAGGAGAGGAAAGAGGGAACAATTAAGAGAAAGCCACAAATTGTATTCAGAGATAACAAAGTACGTGGTTATGGATGTTTTTTGCCAAGTCAATAATTATGTGATACATCTGTTTAATTTTTAGGGTGCTGTGGAGGAACTTCTGTCAACAACATGTTCTCTACTTATGGTGCTCCCACATCAGTGATGACTACAGATCTATATTAAAATCAAGACATCAGCTGGATACTGTGCGCTGACCTGATGCATGTGTTCTCCAGCAGGAACCAAGAACAGACAGTGAAATTAACTGTTTGGGGTATCTGATCTGACCTTCTTGTAGGGTTTCACATGTGACTTCCTTTTCAAGCAGCAATGACTGTACTCAGATATTGCTTCTTTGTTGTCCTAATTCTCAGTGTTTCCCTTCCATTTGTTTTCTATGCCATTAATATACATGCACAAAAATCTCTCAGGAGGCTCAAGTTCTCAGTGAGTTCAACTTTAGTAGAAGACTGTAAAGCACTTACTGAAGATAAAGTGTCCTTTCTGAAGGAAAATGCTTTAAAAACATCCTTTGGAAAATTCAATTGCACTGAGTACATCACACAAAATCACTACGTCACCCGGGTGCTGTCAGCCGAGGAGGCAGCCTTCCCCCTGGCATACATCATCACCATGCACAAGGAGTTTGAGACCTTCGAGCGGCTCTTCAGGGCAGTCTACATGCCCCAAAATGTCTACTGCATCCACGTGGATAGCAAGGCTCCGGCTGCCCTGCAGCAAGCGGTGCGGCGCCTGGTGGGCTGCTTCCCCAACGCCTTCCTCGCCTCCCGCACGGAGCGGGTGGTCTACGGCGGTGTGTCCCGCCTGCGGGCCGACCTGCACTGCATGAAGGACCTGCTGGCCTCGGCAGTGCCCTGGCACTACCTGCTCAACGTCTGCGGGCAGGACTTCCCCTTGAAGACCAACTGGGAGATCATCCAGCATCTGAAAGCCTACAGGGGGAAGAACATCACTCCCGGAGTGCTGCCACCAGCTCATGTAACTGCACGCACCAAGTATGTGCACCGGGAGCAATTATATTCTTTCTTTTCCTTCACGCTGCCAACTTTTGTACACAAGGCTCCTCCACCTCATAACCTGACGCTGTACTTTGGTTCTGCGTACATTGCGGTCACCCGGCCCTTTGCAGAGTTTGTGCTGCAGGACCCGCGTGCCATCGACTTGCTGGCGTGGTCTGAGGACACCTACAGCCCTGATGAGCACTTCTGGGTGACGCTCAACAGGATCCCAGGTGAGTACACCTTTTATTTAGTTTCCCGAGGATACAAGCCTACAGTAATGGGTGCACTTACAACACACACACGTACTTCAGACTGACTTTAATTATGTATATATCACTGAATAGAATCATAGAATCATCCTTCCAGTTGCCGGGAACAGTACTGAGAGGAACAGGCAGACCCAGCTGATCCACACATGGCTCTGAGGCTGGTATCATTGGCACAATTTTGGGTTTCTCTACCATGAGATGATCTACACAGTATCAGGGCTGCTGGCACCTGATGGGATGCACCTTTCTTAGAGGGGGAAAAGGATTTCTGCATTTTTTTATTTTGGGGAATTAATGGGGCTGATTGATAGAGCTTTGAACTAGATTTGAAGGGGGAAAGGGATAAAATCAGACTTGCCTGTGATAAGCTATGGGATGGCATGCCAAAATTTGAGGGACTGCATGCCAGTGAGATCCTTCAGTCTTCTCCTGAAGTGCTGGGTACAAGGAAGAAAATTTGAAATGTTTCTACACCAATGCACACAGCATGAGGAACAAACAAGAGTAGCCAAAGCCTTGTTTCAGTCCCAGAGCAACAATATCATTGGTATAAGCAAAACCTGGTGGGCAGTGCCCTGTAACTGGTATGTCATGATGGACGACACTGAGCCCTTCAGCAGGGACAGGCAGGGCAGGTGATGATGGGAGTGACTGTGTGTGAGGGAGGGGCTGGGCTTTACTGAGCTTGTAGCTGGCAATTGCATGGTTGGGAGCCTCTGAGCAAATAAACTGGATATCGCTTTTCCCCTGCTATAGGTCACCCAGCCAGGATGATGACACTGATGAACTATTCATTAAGGAACTAAGATACAGCTCTAGAACAACCACCCTTAACCTTATGGGTGACTTCAACTTCCCAGGTGCAATTGGGAATTCCACACTGCTAATGCATAAAGGTCCAAGAGATTCCTAAAACGTCTTAATGATAGCATCTTCATATGCTGTTTCTTTACTAAAGGTGAGCTCTAAATGTTCACTGCCCCCAGAAGAGAAAATTTCCTCTGCTCCTTCACTTTTCTTCAGCATTACATGAGAAAACATATACACAAAACACATGAATTGAAAGATCTGTCACTCTTGAAATAAAAGTGCCTGATATGAAAGCCTTTACTTCTAGATCTTTGCTTGAAACAGGCAGACTAACATCTGACCTGGAATGCCCAAGGCTGGGACATCCCTAGGTCAGGTACATCCCTCCACAGAGTTGGTGAATGGTCACATGTAATAAGAGAAGTTGGGGAGTTTGCAGGGAAAATGCCAGGCCAGAATCGTTTTTATTCCTCATTTCTGCAAGAAGCTTACAGCTGTGAGTACGCGTCCCAGAGAGAGGAAAGAAAAAAAGAAAGGCTCCCTATGTCAGTTTTGCTCATATGTCAATGATTGGGATGTAATGAAAAGGATGGATAGTTTTATTAGCAAGTAGTGTCTTAAATCACTCTCAGATGTCAAAAGTACATCTGCACCATCCTGATGGCAATATTTCAGATGGGAGCTGAATAGCAGAAAGAAAGATAAGGACAGTTGGCATACAGTTTACCTCAGGTAATGGCAGGCATGTGGCAGGTAATGCAGTTAGCCAAGCTAAGGACACATCCAAGGCAGATGGGAGTTCTCTTTGTGCAAGCAAACAGTCATAAAAATTTTTAAAAACAAGTTAATGTGGTTAATGTGGTTGATTAATGTGTTAGCATTGCTACCCAGCATTTTCTGGTATTATTCTTGTCTTATACCCACAACCAAAAGATGTGAACAAGATGTTCTTTGAGAGCCACCAGCTCTCACATGGCTCTGGAATTACTGCTGCAGATAATCTGAAGTTTCAACAAATAGGCCTACTTTGTTGTTGCGGTTTGTTTGTTGTTGTTTCCATTCCTCTCCCCATATATAATTTATCCCACACCAAGCTCCTCACTACAGCAACTTAATCACTCAAAACTACTTTGGTAACTCTCAATTCCTCTGTTGTTTCTAGAGAGACTCTTGCAATGACCTTCTTAGCAGTGCATGCATCATACTAACATGCCATTGTGGTTGAGTTTTGCCTCCCAGAATTGCTTCTTTTCTTTTCTTTCCGTTAATGCCCACCCTTCAAAAGACAGATGTAGACAGAAAGGCAGAAGCTTTTTGTATTATTCCAGTCAGTGACGCTAGTTGAATAAGTGATGCTCTCTAGAAGGAAGTATTTTGTATCTATGTCTGCAGCATTACTCATATAACTAACACTTGTGCTTTTGTTTGCATTTTCCGTTCTTTTAATGAGGTTTCCTGTTTGAGCAAACACTTCTTGTAGAAATAAGGTATAAAAAAAGAGATTTTCCTGTAACTGTTATTGAGTCTTATGCCCACAAAGCTGTTGCAATCTCATAATCAAAACCTTTGTCTCTTGCAAGATCTACTTAAGGAAGATGTTGCAATGCAATGGCAGCAAATACACCTGCCTTACAGCAGAATTTCCAGAAAAATTATTCTTGTCCTGTACCCTCCATTCAGGTGTTACAGTTTATCACAAAATACAGGATTAAAATATGGTTAAGTCTAGATGCAGTATTTAGCTGTTATTGCTTTAAACTGGTGCAAATTTTCTCCTCCTGAGGCCAAACTGCTTTACAACCAATCTTTTGCTTTGCTCTAAAATACTACATAGTGATGACAGGGTAAGGAAGGGCATGACTTCAAGAAGGCTTTCTGAAAAGCCACAGCAAATAAATGGACTTGCACTCCTTCGCCTGATTCCCCAGTATCTTTGTATCTATCGCACACTGGTGTAACAGGGTTTAATAGGCTGCTCCTTGGAAAGCAGAAGCAGATTACGGCACTGTAAAGAAGTGTTTTCATCTAAACGCAAACTCATCGGACCACAGTGAAAGTTGTGTTGCATGTGTTAACAGACAAACCCTGCAGCCAGCTGCCTGCCTGGGCAGTGGCACTGGAAGACACTAAAGCCATGGGTGCTGGAAAAGAGGGCATGTCCTGAGCAGCATGCAGCGCCTTAATTCAGACCGCTGCCTCGAATGAAGCGGGTTTCAATATGCTTCTGTTCCCTTGAGTTTAATTTCCTTCCCAACGAGTTGTGAGGTCTGCTTTAAAGCCTAACAACCTTGAGTTTATTTTAAATCCCACCCTCGCCTGCCAAATTTACTGTTCTAGAACCTAGATGGCACTACCAGGGCAGATCCCCTCCGGGGTCAATGAGCTGTTAACGGGCATTACCGGCCCAGCCCCTCGGGCTCAGCGCCTGCCGCCCCGCAGCAGTTCCACCCCGCAGGCCCCGGCCCTGCGCTCCCCGTGTCAGGGCCGTGCTGTGTCAGGGCCGGGCCGTGCCGAGCAGCCATGCGGAGACGTCGGCTAGCGGTGATTCTGGCCGTGGCTGTGGCACTGCTGGGTGCCACCACGCTGCTGAGGCGCCGTGAAGGGAGCGGGGCAGGGGCTGGTGGCTCTGCTGAGGGCACGGCACTGGAGCGAGCGTGTGGCACGCTGCTGGCCGGGCAGGCTCCCACGCTGCAGGATGGGGGGCTGCGACCCGCAGCCAGGGACTCCTCCTGCAGCGAGTACGTGTCCCACAGCCGCTACATCACCCGGGTGCTGTCAGCCGAGGAGGCAGCCTTCCCCCTGGCCTACATCATCACCATGCACAAGGAGTTTGAGACCTTCGAGCGGCTCTTCAGGGCAGTCTACATGCCCCAAAATGTCTACTGCATCCACGTGGATAGCAAGGCTCCAGCTGCCCTGCAGCAAGCGGTGCGGCGCCTGGTGGGCTGCTTCCCCAACGCCTTCCTCGCCTCCCGCACGGAGCGGGTGGTCTACGGCGGTGTGTCCCGCCTGCGGGCCGACCTGCACTGCATGAAGGACCTGCTGGCCTCGACCGTGCCCTGGCACTACCTGCTCAACGTCTGCGGGCAGGACTTCCCCTTGAAGACCAACTGGGAGATCATCCAGCATCTGAAAGCCTACAGGGGGAAGAACATCACTCCCGGAGTGCTGCCACCAGCACACATCACCACACGCACCCGCTTCATGCACCTGGAGCAGGGTGGGAGCAATGTTTCAGGGCTGGTCACCCCCCAGGTGCACAAGGCTCCTCCACCTCATAACCTGACGCTGTACTTTGGTTCTGCGTACATTGCGGTCACCCGGCCCTTTGTAGAGTTTGTGCTGCAGGACCCGCGTGCCATCGACTTGCTGGCGTGGTCTGAGGACACCTACAGCCCTGATGAGCACTTCTGGGTGACGCTCAACAGGATCCCAGGTAGGCTGTGGGATCCTGTCTAGGCATCCAGAACCCTGGGGTGGTTTTGGTACTAATCTCACTAAAATAGACCGATGGCACTAACTTTCCATTGCAGAGTGCCAGCTGATTGTGGTGGTCACCACAGCTCTCTTCACCATGGAGGTACTTCTCAGTGATGTTCACACAAATCAGGTTGTCATCACTCCTGCAGTTTTATATAGAAGATCACCCTGATGGGTGGCAGCCTATGTTAGCAACAGTAGTGACAAACCACGCATGATATACCGAGCAATCCTGAATTTATCTTCCTGGAGATTTCTCCACTTGGCCACGCTGTCTTTTGGTGGGAATGGCACCTATAAATGGGCAGGTGGTGAGTCCAGTGAAGTAACAGCTTTTCTGCTCAGCAGCAGTAGCCCTGTCCTGCAAAGGCACAGGCCTGAAATAGGCTTAGATTATAGCAAGCTTCAGTGATGTTTGAGCTGTATATATTAAGGTCTTCCTGGTGTCCTTGAAGAGTTGAAATGGACAGTCCCTGCCTTGAGGGATGGCTCTGTTTTGCCGTATTTGCTCTTTAGTCCCATGTGTATTTGCAAGTAATATCTTTGTGCTGCAAATGCCACTGTAGGGATTTGTGAATTTTCAGATCCAACTTACAGTACAGGGACTGCACACCTTTTCTCATGGAAGAGAGGGTGTGCATATCTTGCTCCAAGCCTAGAGTGTTTCCCAATCATAAACATGCAAATCTTGTTCCATGCCTAAAGTGTTTCCCAACATAAATATCTGGCCTCAAAGTCAAGCAGAAGTTACTATCATTTTCAAAATGTTTTACAGAATCACCAAAGGTGATTCTGTGCACTGTTTCACTGTTTTGAGTGGATTTATGAAGTGTGTCTTAGTCGACCTGATGTGCTGGGTGAGGGTACAGAAGGATTTTCTGTAACCAGCCTACAAAGCACAAGAGAAAAGCTTGGATTAGTTGATGGTGTGGAGCTATAAGCTCATCTCCTTCCGTAAAGAGAGCTGCAAATGAGGAAGCACAGATTGCTATTGAAGGCTATTGCTGACTGCCAGCTTGACTTTAATTGACACATTGGTTAGATCCTGGAATTACAGGTAGAGTACCTGGAATTTCAGAGTAAATCAGGTAGCCTTTTATCTTGTGTCATTTCCATCTGAATATGAGTTTATGTGTGAAAGCAAAAGCAGTGGCTCATTTTGTGTAAGATATAGATGTCTTTCTTGATAATAGCTGGTAGTGGTGCAAGAAGGAAAGGGAATGGACTCCTTCTTTGAGCCAGTGCAACTCTCATTGGGATCTGAATGGCAAAAAGGAAAAAAAAAAGAGAAAAGGGGAATCTTAGCTGAGAAGCATATTTTGTTGTGTTCTGTGGTTGTGGTCAATGTTCAAAACCAGGGCATGTTTTTCCTGCCTCCAAACCTGTGTCTGTGTGCTCAGCACAGTGCTGTGAGATGTTGCTCAGGGGGGAGGAGGGGGCTTTACTTCCCAAATGGTGTTTTGCAACCACCAGAACTGCATAGGTGGGTTGTGAATTCAGCCACAACTGACTGGAAAAACGGGTCAGGCCCCCAGCACTTTTACTTTCATTTCTTCCCTTGGTGCATACTTGAAATTCACTTATTTTGCTGCAGGTACTTTCAGATTCCTGTCACATACATGGGTGATCCAAGCCGTGTAAGGTGAGAGCTGAATAAAAGTAGAGTGAGGAGCTCACACCTGAGTTTATATTAATGCTCACCACCAACATAACTCTTCAGACAAACTGTTTTATCAAAAGGCCCCGAGAACAACTTCTGAATATGAAATCAATTGGTAAAGATTTGACAAAGATATAAAGGAAAATGTGGTAAACCCATTTTTTTTTTTAAGTGCTGAGCTACATTATTCTTTACTCTTTAATTAACTTACAAAAATGCCTAGTTTACTTAATTTTAGAGCTGGTGAATAATGTGAAGTCAGTAATTTTGTATTCCTAGAAGGCAGTGCCTCCCATTGTTTTTGTGGATGTCCTGAGGTTGTTCCTGTTTTGTCAGTCATCTTTCTTCTTTCCCACAGCGTCAGCATTTTCCAAGGTTTATCATCACACCACGCTTACTGCCAGCTCTTGTGAACAGGTTTCTAATTTGGAATGACAACGCATGTCCCAGACCGTTTGAAGAGCGTACCCCCTGCTATCACTGCCTCTTTTTGTCTTTTATAAAGTGTTGTCTCTACATGAATGCTTTCTGCAAAAGAATAACATCTTCTGAAATGTCCCCTGGACAAAATCTCACTTTGGCATGTTATTTTGTTTTATTTGATAATAGCCCAGTATGCAGAGGAGGAGAAACAAGATGGTGATGTTCTGGTTACTGCTGGCAGGTATCTCTGCTTATGAAAAACTGCTGCAGTGCTTCTGCTGTTGGATCAAGTGATCTTTCTGCATTTGATAAAGAAGTCACGATAGTATTTGAAAGCACCTATCCTTGGTGGATGATGAGGAACATCCCTAGCTTATGAGGAACACTCTATCCTTAAAAACCCAAACTAGAGAAAGAAAAAGGAAATAAAAACCAAAAACTGATGCTTTTCTCCCATCAAATCTCTCAAAAATGGAACAACAACAAGAGCAAATAAACCCTTGACATTACACAGTGCCCTTGGGTTCACTTTTGCCCTTCACTGTGCTCTCTTCAAGCTCACAGGCAAAACAGTTGTTAGGTTGCAGTAACTGTGAAGATATCGTGCTTGTTGCCATTGGGGAGGGAAACAAAAGAACCAGAAACTTCCTGTACTTTCATCTTTCCTTTTCATAGAACACTGAATTATCACTGGCGTGATCAGTATTTCAGTTACCATTTCAGTACTGATCATGGCTTCTTATTTGTTCTCCCATTCTATTTGAGATTGTGCTTTACAGAGCTGCTAGCAGATCACCTCTGTTAGGACTGCAGCTCATGAGCAAAATGAATCATCTAGATTAATACACAATTTAAATGACACTATGAAAATCAGAAAGAGGGCTAATTGCTATTAAAGAAAGAGGTCAGAAGTGGGGATTAAAATGTCTGTTTTATTTTTCTTAAAACTGTATTTGATGGACACAGGTCCTATAATTCCAAATCAAGGCGTTTTGTTCAAGCTTTAAAAGGCTTGCTGTAAATTGAGGAAAATTGCTGTGTTTTCAGTATACAGTCAGTATAAATGATGGCTAACAATCCAAAAATCATATAGATAGTTCCGTAAAAAAGCTTCATGTGCCATTCCGATAATTGCTTCCTTAAAAAGGAAAACAGGAGGGCATAGGAATAAAAGCCTTTGAATATCCCTATTAAAAAACTGGAAGAAAAGCACTAGAAACAGTTCAGCTGTTAAAGTAGTAACTGTTGCTTTAGTTACCGTTAGATTAATTGCAGTTAATTAATAACCAGAGATTATTAGTCTGTATGAATGATAATAATATTGCTGCTACTCAAGGGGCTGCCAGAGGATGGAGCTGTAGATTGCAGCTGCCTCACAGTGCAATGGGGAGCAGCCAGGGTGATGTAAATTCTCTCCTCCCTGGCCAGTGCTACCAGTCAGTGCTGTTACTTCTACTGCACTTACTACAGCTTTTGGCTTGCAAGTACTCCTACGCTAAATTCTTTGCATTTGAGCAAGTTACTCTTTTCCTCTTGTAGCAGAAATGCTAAGTCACAGCTTGAACCAGTGATTGAGCACCTGGTAGGAAGGCAGAGCCAACCCAGGGAAGCTCATGTGCCAAGCAGTGCACCTGAGTGACTGGAAGGAGTGGAGCCAGGATCCATCCCTTCCCAGCCTCATATAAGGGTTGACAGTGTAGGCAAGGGTATCTTTCTGGAGATTCCTGCCTACCTGAGACCTTCTGAAGGTAAGTTGTTTATTTCCTTTATTTCTGTGGCTGCTGCATTGCACAAACTCTCCCTTACCGCAGCCTGGGACCTTGCTGTCATTGCTTCACTTTCCATTGTGTTACATGCCTGTTTTCAGCCTCATTAGAAGAATGCAAAAGCAGCATCTGTGTTTTTGTACCTGCTGATCTACTTCTGGCTCCCCAGATGTTGCCTCTTCTGCCATTTGATAACTCAGGTGCAATTATGATTATACGTAATCATAATGGTAATTACTTGCTAGGCAGGAAAGAATAAAATATGTTGTGCTTTTTTTGTAACCAGGCAAATAAATTATAGGCAAGTGTTTGTGTTACAGTGAGAAGTTGGTGCTTTTCCAACTTTTCTTAGTGAAGTGTTTTGTGCATTGGACATCTTCCGTTACTGACCTGAATATAACACTGCAGTGTAGATCAGGTGCAGAGGTTTTGCTAGCTGGAACTATCCAACCATCTCTTGTGTTCAAAGGCCAGTGCTTCATTCTATGGCAGCAATCTCTTTGTCATAGCCTGCAGGTGAAGGTACTGCATTTTATCCCAGTTCCATGGAGAAAAGTCCTATAAAACCAAACATACAGATGTTCAAAAGAGTGACAGTGTTATTTTCTGTTACCTAATTGCAGGTGTGCCTGGGTCCATGCCTAATGCATCGTGGGAAGGTGACCTGAAAGCAGTGAAGTGGATTGATATGGAAGACATCCATGGAGGTTGTCACGGTAATGCGTATATTCTTCCTCAGTTCTTCTTGTTCATCTAGTGAAAAACTTGATTTCTGCGTGTAGCCCTACATAATGCAAATCAGAAAGCAGCAGTTGATCAGAGATAAGACGTTGAAAGGATCTTCCTTTGTCCTTAGGTAGTGAGTAACAGTAGCCACATAAAATAAGCAGTTAGAAACCTGGAACAGTTACTTCTTCATCAGGAACATTTATAGAATACATCCTCCTCAGAAAGGAGGATCTGCAGCAATGCTTAATGATTACAAGAGTTAGCTGACTGTTTTCTCCTAAGTGTGGGGGAATCATCTTGTGGGTGATGGGGAATAGCCCGAGTATAATTGTAACTCACAGTATGGGGACACAGAACCGCTGATGCAGGCACTTATGCCTGCTGGAGCCACACTGGGTAGGGAACCTCAGGAACTGCAAGCTGACAATGTTTAAATATTGAGATTTTCCTGTTTCGTATTGCTTCATGACATAACAGTAGTGAGTTTTAATTTCTATGGCACACTCAATTTTTTGGTCACTGATTTGTATTTTGTATGATGCTACTACTTCTGACATGTAAAAGTGAGAGGAAAATAAAATACATATTTCATAAACTTTTAATTCATTGTTTGTGTTGAGGAGAAAAAAAAATGGATAATTTCAGTCAGCTTTAATTGCAGCAGTTTCACATTATCGTGACTACACCAAAATAAGTGACATTGCACCAGTATCAACCCACGTTATTTTGTGGAGAGTCTTGCATGAATAAAAGGATCAGTTCCTCTTCACTGACAGAAGGAAGTTTCCCTCTTTGCTGTGTCTCAGCCTTGTCTTAGAGTCTCAAGTAATAAAATTTCTTTTCTGGCCTATCTCTTTACTCTGGAATTATGCTTATTATTTACTCATAAGTAATTTTCTTCATGTCATTCTCTTGTTCATACTTACACTGTGTGCCTAGTAAGCCTTTTAGGACGTGGTGTAGATTTAGAGTGGCTTTGCAGATAAAACTTATGCAAAGAAAGTTTTGGATCCTTAAGCATGCCTGTAGAAAGAAAACCAGGTTCTGACATTTCTTTTTTAATTTCTTTTTAATTTGGCAGGTCATTATGTCAGAGGCATTTGTGTATATGGAACAGGTGACCTCGAGTGGCTTTTTAACTCCACCTGTATGTTTGCAAATAAGTTTGAACTCAGAACGTACCCGCTGACTGTGGAGTGCCTGGAGCTGAGACATCGAAAGAGGACCTTGGCACAGAGTGAAGTTCAGGTGGAACCAAACTGGTATTTCTAGCTAGTGCAAACCCAGGATACATCAACAAAAGTGACCAGAATTACACCAGAAATCTAATTTCTGCTTTGCTGGAAGCACATGTTCATCCAACAGGTTCCTTTAGGATGTGCAATAGATGCACCTCAGGTCAGCTTGTCTCACTTTGTCTGCAAATCTATCTTTTCACTTCACATTTGGAGACCAAAATGTGGGAGATCCAAAAAGAACCAAGAGAGCACAGCTCTTTGCAGCTGCCCTTTTTGCACTTTCGCTGTTTTAATGGCCTGTTGTCCAGCCCTAACTTTTTTTCTTGCTACACTGACATTGCTGCCTGTTTCTGTAAAAATGTATATAGAATCAGGCATCCTTGGGGCTTCTCATTACCTCGAAGACAAGCAGTGTGCATTGGTAAGCAGAAAGATAACAAGTCACAGTGAGCAAGACCTTGAAAAGAGGAACACAATTGGTGGCCATACATGCAGCTGCTGTTTAGTGAAAGATACAGAAACAGTGCACCACTGGGAATGGGAGAAAGGTGCTGCACTGCTGAGGTCTCATCTGTTCTTTAAACATCTGTTGGTTCAAGGTTTGTAGGAGAATACAGCACCTTTTGCTATGCGAATGGTTGTAGATAAAAAGATCTGATAGGCTTTCAGGCACAAGAGCTCTTTATGAAAAATAAAGGCTTGCTTATTTGTTTCACTTGGCCAACTAATTGAGCTGGAAACTGACTGACACAGATTTTGGCCTGCCAGCGTCCTCAGATCATCATATGTAAGGACACGAAGGGAGGGGGAAGGCAGTGGAAAGAGACGTCAGGACTGAAAGATCTGTAGTTGAGCTTTGGCAGTAAGCCTGTAACTTTGTGTCACGTTTTGATACGGACTGAGCCTCCTTCCCAAGTTTACTTACGCGTACTTCACATTGAGCTTCACAGCCTTATTTTTGTTTCCCGATCGCAGCCACCAGAGGGAGGCAGTCAAATAGCTGAGCCGATACTCCTTCCTAAGCCTACCTAACCCTTCAGCATGCGGTCTCAGCAGAGCAGGAACGTCACACAGCAAAATTAGCATTCGGGAATATCTTAGCACGGCCAGCAGAAAGTAATACTTACAGGTATCAGTCATTGCGTCCTAAAAAACCAAAGCACAATTGAATGGTTCTTCCTGCAGTGATGTCAGGCTGCGTTTCTGGGGTTATTCCAGCACGTTGAATGACTCAGCCAGCAGCACTGGTCTTGAACAGCGTCTACTCCCAGCTTCGTTAAACCACTGCTAACTTCGGTGTCCTTTTCCTGACTCGCCGCCGTTTACAGCGTTTTTTTTTTTTTTTTTTTTTAAAACGAATGTTACGCTTGTCTGCAAATAAACCCTTTCGTTGTCATTGTGCGACTGCTTTCTGGGCACGGCCGGTGGCGGCGGCGTTGAGCTTCCCGTCCGAGGCCGGAACTCCGCGAGGCGCCGCTCCGCCCCGCCGCACGCCGGGAAGCGCCGCGCCAAGGTCAGAACGGGCCGCCGGCCAACCGCCCCCAGGCTGCAGCGGGCGGCGGAGGGGCACCGCACATGGAGTACGACTGGGTCGGCTTCGGGTACGCGGCGCTGGTGGCCTCCGGGGGCATCATCGGCTACGCCAGGGCAGGTAGGGCTGCTGTTAGCGCTGAGGGGTCGGAGAGCGGGGTTCTGCCCTTTAAAAGGGCTGCCTGCCTGCGTGGGGACGGGGGGCTGCGAAACGTCTTACCAATTGAAAAATAAATACGGGTTGTGATTTATGTTGCTTGCTTTCTTGAAGGCAGCGTCCCGTCCCTCGCTGCCGGCCTTCTGTTCGGTGGCCTGGCAGGGCTGGGTGCCTACCAGCAGTCCAGCGAGCCGAAGAACGTGTGGCTTTCTCTTGGTAAGTGCTTGGCAGCCGAGTGTTAACGCTGACGGATGGGGCACCTCCGCTACCAGGGCTGGCTGAGGGAGCTGGGCTTGTTCAGCCTGGAGAAAAGAAGGCTGCGGGGTGACCTCATTGCAGCCTTCAGTACCTAAAGGGAGCCTACAAACAGGAGGGGAGTCAACTCTTGGAAAGGGTAGATAACTGCAGGACGAGGGGAAATGGTTTGAAGTTGAGGGAGGGAAGGTTTAGGTTGGATGTCAGGGGGAAGTTCTTTACTATGAGAGTGGTGAGGTGCTGGAACAGCTGCCCAGAGAGGTTGTGGATGCCCCATCCCTGGAGGTGTTCAGGGCCAGATTGGATGGGGCCCTGGGCAGCCTGGTCTGGTATTAAATGAGGAGGTTGGTGGCCCTGCATGTGGCAGGGGGGTTGGAGATTCATGATCCTTGAGGTCCCTTCCAACCCTGGCCATTCTGTGATTCTGTTCCAGCTAGCTTGTGTCCCTTTATTTATACAAGTGCTGTGAGCAGTGGCAGGGCTGCCTGCCCATAGCTGGGAAGCATTTGTGCCAGAGCTCCAGCTCCTTGCTGTCTCTGGGAGCCATGCTGGGTGACAGCTATGTATCCCCAATGCCAGGTGAGGTATTGTGTTAAATTAATTCAGGTGCAGGGGACTTGTGTGGAAAAACAGCTGCGAAGGAGCATTTCAAGCTTAAAAATGTTCTAATGTATGCTGTGGGAGGAAGTCTGAAATCTACAAAAGAAAGGAGGGAAAGAATTGTTTTCTGTTGCTTGTCCCACCTCTGTTGCTTACAATAGATGAGACAAGAAGCTGTGGGCTTAGCTTGCAGCAAACCTTTTGAGGGAAGCAAAAAAGATGAAACGATAGTGGAAGGTGTTGGGAAGCACTGGAAGAGATCAGGTGAAGCTAAAGGAATTTCCATTGCTGCCGGGCTTCAGTAACTGGTCAGGCCAGTGCCTGTGAGGAGTTGGTCACATCTTCCCGTGCTAGGTTGAGCTTTTACAGCTCTGTAACCACATCAAAGTGTTATTAGCATTTAGATATTACAGGTACTTAAGGTTGTTTACAAACAACAGCTCTTGGTCATGCAATGTGTTGATGGGCTTAATGGGATCCCTGGCAAACACTGCAGAGTATCAAACTGTGTGGTGAGTAGAAAATGAGGTGCAACACGCAGCTCAACGTGAAGCAGAGCTTCTGTTTGTGCACTCTCTTCCATTGTGGTGTGTAGTAAGAATGGCCACGCATCTCCTGCACTAGTTTTTAGACAGTATACTGAGAGAAAGATAAGTTGTTTCTGTACTTCTTGATTTTTGGACACAGACATAGTGGGCCTCTTGAAGGCAGCATGGTGTCCTGCCTACTGTAATTCCTTATTCATCTGTTCTATTTTATAAGGTAGTGACAGGATGAGGGGAAATAGTTTTAAACTGGAAGAGGGTAGACTTAGACTAGATATCAGAATTTTTTTTTTTCCTGTGAGGGTGGTGAGACACTAGAACAGGTTGCCCAGAAAGGTTGTGAATGCTCCTTCCCTGGAAGCATTCAAGGCTAGGCTGGATGAGAGGCTGAACAACCTGGTCTAGTGGGAGGTGTCCCTGCCTATAGCAGGGGATTGAAACTGGATGTTCTTAGAGGTCCCTTCCAACCCATACCATTCTATGATCATTCCATGATTCTATTTCTCTTCAACCTCCTGTGATTTGCAGTTGTGGCTCCAGCTGAGCTTTAGATTGCTCAAACTACATCAAATGGGAAATGTAATAATATTTGACTTCCATGCAGTGATCTTTATCACCACCCTAGCTTTCCGGCAGTTTTTAGGCTATCTGTATTCAAGGAAATAATAATCCTTCTTGTGTAAATAAATGGAAATTGAGGGAGTGTCAGTGATTTGCACAGAGGAGTGGAGGTTATGGGTGATTAGGCAGTGTTAGTAGCTGGTTAGATGTACTCATTTGTAATGGACAGTGAAGCAGGCTTACCAAAGCTGCCATAAAGCTTACAGCTGCTCTGCTGCTTAAAAATATTTGCTTTTGAGGGGAGGAGAGACACATAGGCCTGTTGGCATTGATAAGTGTGTAACAGGGTCATAGTGCTGCACTGGGACTTCAGACCCACTTCCCTGAAACCGTCCTGACTGGGCTTCTCTTCTATCAGTGGCATCTGGAACCTTGTCTGCTGTCATGGGGATGAGATATTACAACTCCAGAAAAGCAATGCCTGGGCTCATTGCTGGTGCCAGGTACTCACGTCTTCTGTTCTTGTCTGTGTTTTGAATAAGCATTTTATTTAACTCATATGTTGATTATATTGTGTTCAAGAAATGTTTAGATGTTGTACTGGGGGACATGGGTTAGGGGAAATATGGGTGGTAGGTGGACAGTTGGACAGGATCATCTTGGAGGTCTTTTCCAACCTTGATGATTCTGTGATAAGGTTTTTTTTAAGTGTTACGTGGTAAGTTGTGTGGAAAATGAAATCTTGTGTTGTAGTCTATCTAAATGAATCATGATGGTTTTTTTCTGTGGTGTTCTTTGAGAATTTTCCCCTATCCCTCTCTTCTGTTTGTTCTTTTTTTCTTCCTTTCTTTTAACAAATATTCTGTTCAACAGTTTACTGATGGTTGGAAGACTCGTATTGAAGATGATGGAAAAGCCACTTGAGCCATAAGTGAACATCACACCACTTGAAGAAGCCTGAAAATGCCACTGCCTGAATGCACTATATAAAAAAATGTAACAGACATTGCTGTCTGTGCACTGTTTTTTCATATCCTTATGCGTATGGGTTATGTCTTTAAATGAGAGAAATTGAGAACCCTTCCAAAGTGGTATTTGTCTCAACAGCTGCACTGTGAAGTAGGAAAATGAGATAGGATTAGTTCAGCTTCTTGTCCTGCAGTTTATGCAAAGGTCTCTATTCCCTTGTGTGCAGACAGTTGCAGGAATGAACCTTAAATATACATCTGGACTTGTCCTTGTAAAACCCATTAGAACCCTGAAACAAGGGACACGAGTTGGACTAGATAAGCTTGGAGGTCTTTTTCCAACATAGGTGATTCTAAATTGCCAACCTATCATTAGTATTTCCTATAACATACCAGCTTTTTGTCACCTTTCCCTCCCACTTCCCAGCCAGCTTATCTGGTCATCATGTTTGTTAATCAGGGACTTTGTTCTGCTAGCACTGTGTTAGAACCTTGGCCTAAACAATCATGAAGCAGGGGGTTAAGTTTCTAATGTAATGCAATGAAAGTAAACCTGTTACTTGAAATTATTTATAAGGAAAAGTACCCAATTAAATGTAATTAATTTGACTTTTACAGACTCTTCTTTGTAAGAGAAATCAAAAATATATTTTGTTAGGTAATGCTGAATTGCAGTCGTAGCACTTGTATTAAAATGTTACTTTAAATAAACCAGCCAACATAATATTATTACAGACTTGCCTTCTACACAACTATTTTTTTTCTTTAATCATTCATTTGGACTGATACATTTAGTGCCTCTTCTGTAGGAAGTCTGGATTTATATCTGTGAACATGAATTGTCTGATAGCCCTGTTCCATTCTGTGGGCACAGGGACTTAGAAATATTACATGAACTGGGGAGAGGAGAGCCAGAAAAAGCAGCAGCATCTTATATATAAAGACAAGTATTACATTAAAATCGAATTTTTATTTTTCTGAGAGAAATGTTCTATTTCAGATTTGAAAGACTCTGTGAAAGTTTATTTAAAGACCAAAGGACTCATGCTTCCCTGAGAAGTGCTCTGTTGCCTGAACTCATTCTAAATATAGACTTAGGATGCAGAAATAATCCTGGGAGTTACACATGGATGGTAATGTATCCCTTTTCTGGTCTGGTTTACCTTGTGTCTGTTTTTGCACAGGACCTGAGCTTCGATTTCTTCCACCTTTGTTTTGGTGGCTGATACTGTGAGAGACTAAAGCAGGGGGGTTGATCTGTTGGAATAGTAAGGCTCTGGAGCCTCATTTGCTCAGAGTTCTCTAAACATCTGGCCAGTACCCCAGCAGGAATGTGATAGCTTGTGGTTTGTTTCCTTTTTACTTTCCCTTCCTTTTTTCCTTCCCTTCTTGTTAAATAACTTTAGTCTCTGGACATGGATGGGGAAAAGCACCTGGCAGGGAGCAGCTGGTTTCCTCACAGGAGAAAGCGATCTGGGAGTCAACAGCTTCAGCAGATGGTTTCTTTGTAAGTCAGCCTTGTAAGTGTCTAATTCCAGGCTCTTGACCCAGCACTGGTGATCAGGTTGTCTGAATGTGTTTGCTATAGCATGAGAAAGCTAGTAAGCTACGTATTAGCATTTAAAACACGTTTCTTTGAACTACTGTATGGGTTGTATGCATATTCATATGGCTTTTGAGCCGTTTGTCTTCAGTGGAAGGAAGATGCAAATATAAATGCCTCTGCCACAGTAAATCCAGGACGGTGGAATCCAGCAGTTTTCTAATTGTATGATACTGGTCTCAAGTTAGGTAACTTGAGCATGCTGCAGTTGTACTTCAGTAAAGGCAGTGGAAAGCAGGGATTTAGACAGGTAAGCTTTTTAACTTGTTCACCAAAGCGTTATGCCTTAGTGCCTTTTCATGAGGTTTGGAAAATAGAAGCTTGAATTGAGAATAGCTGCTAGAACTCTTTCTTACTTTTCGCATCAGCAGAAACAGCAGTCCTCAAACAAAGGGAGGAGAGAAAAGCTAAAGAGTTGTGTGCTTTTCATCCACTTGGAACTTCATAAGCATTAGGTGGCATTTCTGCACTGACAGTGTGCATCAGTGAATCAGAGGTACAGGGACTGTACAGCACCTACTAGTGCCTTACTGCTGTTTTGTCTTGTTGCTTGGGAGAAGAATTTCTTAACTCTGGTCATGCTTTGATCATGGACAGGTCAAGGCTGTTACAGTTATGTCAAGATAGTTTCTATGTTCACTAGCATGTTGTAAGGACAGCGTGTTTCTTCTATCTCTATTTAGTACTGCCTGTTCCTTTTTCTGCTCTAGGTGACTTTGTGAGCTATGGATGCATTATTAGCTAATTGCTTGATCAGTGTGATCTTACCAGGGATGAGTGATTAATTTCTTGTGGATTTTTTAATAAAACCAGTGTATTTATGAACCAGAACTGTTCTAGAAAGTGTGAGGGTGGTCTTCATTTCCACAGCGAGTTAAAGATATATTCTACAGCTACAATAAGATATGTTTAAATAGCACATGAATATCTGTTGTTGTAGTAATGGAATGACAAGTATCTGAGACAAAACCAATAGTAATTAAATCTTCTAGTGTGTTACTAACCTGATATCCAGTTCTCTATAAATCACTTCCAGTATTAAAGTAACATTTTTTTGGTGTTTTTTTTTATGCTACTGCTTCAGTTTAAATTAACTTCCAGTAGGTTATGTAGCCCAAGTATTACAGCACATTAGGTCAAAACAGGAACTGAAAACATTATATGCAGTTAAAAAAAGTATTCATCAGTTTCACATCTTTAAATAACATACTCGTTTTGTATTATTTTAAAATGGCAGGTTTAATATTACTACCAAAACATCTATTCTAAACACAGCTGTGTACAGAAGTAGCCTAGATCAACATTAAAAAAATATATTTATTGTACATTGGAAGGTCCTTTGCAAGATATTACTGTAAAACTTAGCATAGGTGCCAAGGAAAGTATGACATGAGCATATAAACATTGAGGTATTGCATTATTAAAGCTTGTATGTATTCTCAAGGACTTAAGCTGGTTTTTAAGATCTAAAACAGAAAGTAACCTCTTTGAAAAGCAGCTTTATTTCTTCCCTCATAATTCATGGGGCTTCTTTAAGTTATGGAGAAGTCTAGTTTATGTCATCACCCAGTAAGATGTTTACCAACCACTTATGCCTTTTTTGGCTAATTCACCATTAGAACAGCTGATGAGACTGGGATTTGGATTCCTTAAAACATCACTGTGATATACCTTTGATAAGGGAGATGTAATTCTCCACTGATCTTCAACTAAAAGTGGTCATAAACTAATTTTAACAGTCTAGTTTTAAGCTTCACTACAGCTCGGTGAGGTAAGTGCAGCATTCAGTACTTGCTTAGCTATTTTCCAGTGTTGCTACTGGAATATTTTCAAAGCTTCCAGGTGCAGTAATTGTCACCATATTGCTTATGTCCAGCTGTAAGGGGTTCTCACTGCATTTACACATTACAGACCCTGAGCAACTCTTTAGGTACAAGTGAGTTCTGAAATCCTTGTAGGACACTGGTGTTCTTCACAAAGCCCAGTCTGTGCTTTTACTTTCACGTTTCCAGGAAGGAGCCAGTGTATCAGCCCCAATTCTAGCTGCTTGCGTACATGAAAGCAGCTTATGACAATGGTGAGCTTTTGCATAGGGCAAAAAACTAAAGCTCTTCTTTTTAAAAGTACGCTGATAGGAAGTCTTCTGTAGAAGAAAAACATCAGGTGAAATCTACTTCTCATTACTTTTAAATACGTGATAGATTTGGCAAGATGTGTTGTACAATACTTCATGAAATCCTACCTAATGGCCAGTATTTTAAATAATGTGACTTTTTTTTTTTTGTCCATAGGTCATAGAACACAAGGTTGTCTGTTTTTGTCTTTACTATTGCATAGCTCTTAAGAAAGATTAGAGCAAATAGGCATTTCAGGCAGGAGAACTGTGCAGGTATCATGTGAGCTTTGTTCAAGATGGCATTTTCTATCTGTGTCCTCCATATTTAGCCATCCAGTCTGTTCTTCCATGGACTGGCTGAATTGTTGGTGCATGAGTTAAAATATTCATGTTTTTTGCTGAATTGTAAGTAGGACCTGCTAACTGAGTACGAGCAGCTTTGGTTTTCCAGGAATAATCTGAAAGGAACAAGAACTTGGAATTAATGATGACTAAAGTAGTATTTTACTACTGCACAGATGTGAATGAGTTGAAAGATGACTTGGGGTACTCAGGGATATTAACACATCAGAGTCCAGACTATCCTGCTATTCTGTATTATCCTTGTTTTCAGATAAGGCTTCTGTTTCCTAGAGTTTGCTTATCTTACTGGTAATTCTCACCTTTTGGGTCCCTGTTTTGCAACAATTCCTGTAGGTAACACTGAGACAGGTGTGGAGGTTTTTACTGAATTTTGATGTCCTATAACATAACTGCTATAGCAAGGAAGTATTCTTTCTTATTTATCTCAAACGCTTGAATAAGCATACAGTAACAAACTCATGTTGTTTGGCTTTTACTTTCTATAACGTAGCAATGTCTACACTTCAGAAAGCACTCCTTTTATGTTTCATGGCAACAAGAGTACTGTCAACTACTGAGATGACACTCAGACTTGCATAGCTAATAGTGGGAAGAAGACAGTGAAAACCTGTCTTAAATTACCACTACTAAAGCTGCAGAGTAACCCAGTAGAGCTAGTAAAGAACAGAACAATTTATTTTAACACAGTGCTTGTACTATATCTGTAACATTATTTGTGGATTTACTGAGTCATCTGAGGGAAGTATTTACCTTTTCTGAAGTTGTTTAGCATCTTACAGGTGACTGTAAGCACGGTTCAGCATTATTCAAGTGCGTTAGGTGGCATTATACTTAAAGACTCAGGACTGCCACATGCTGCAAGAAAGTCTCTGTCAAGAAAATGCCTCTAAACCCATTTAAATATGAATATTTTTTTGTTTAAACCTGAACATCTCTACTTTTCCTACTGGTATTAAGAAAAATGTGTATGCTGTTTCTTACCAGATACAGATGGAGCAATAGGAGCTAGCTGTATCCGTTGTCCAACTGATCCAACTTCTTTCTTATGAAAGGAAGGGATGTATCCTCCTGATGGGTTGTAAGCAGCACCTCCCACAAAGTCAGAGTTTCCTGTTGATATTTACAGGAGTTTTTAATATTTTCAGTTGCATCCATAAAATATGCATTTTCATAGTCACTTCAAAACATACTTGCATGATCACAAGAATAGTGAGTGTTGTTTTTCCCCAGTGCTTGTCTGTAGGGAAGAAGTATATATCCTTTTAATTGTATCTTAGTTGGACCTTTTCAAATACCTAACAAACTCTACAAGTATGTATACTCTACTACATCTGTTCTTACAGTGCAGCAGGAGTGAAGATAACAGAGTGGTATGACCTGTTTGTTAATACTTTCATTAAACTTTTATTGCTTAGCAAGAGTTTACATTGAGTTTTAGAGGAAGACAGGATCTTACCTTTTATTTACTGGAAGCAGGTTTAAGCACTTCAGTCTTTGAAAATCAGCATGCAACATCTATGACCTACATCTATTTAAAATGGAACCAAAACTCCTCTTGTGGTAAGTGGTGCACCACTTGAAATTGACTTAGCAGGCCTTTAACCAGGGAACTGGCTACAGAAGTAAGATCTAGTTGCCCTCTCTTTTGAAGCCTGATACTTTATTGTGCTTGGCTTTAGTCCACAACTTTCTCTAAGGCACTGTTGCCTTGGAAAGATCAACATAATCATCCTTTCCAATCCATCATTAGGAAGTTGAGAAACATTACACATCTACACACAAAATTATTACTGTACAGTGGTGTGGAATCGATTCAAATATTTAGACTGTTCCAAGCAGATTTCTTGTCTATCTTCTTCATGTCTGTCATCACACAGTCTTAAAAAGCTATGTGATGGCACAACAGTTGAAGGGAAATGCTTCCGTCAGGATGATTCCAATACTAGTTAGTAAGATTTACAGTGTGATTTGATAGTTTGTTCTTTCTTTTAAATCACTGGCCCCAGTGCAATACCCTCCTCCTCACACTGACACCCTCAGCCTTCTGTGCTGATGTCAGAACTAGCGCAGTGGATCTATAAGCTGCAGAACTGATCATCTACAAACCACAAAAGTATCCTCAGCTACTTATAGCTGTGTTGGGCCACCATATACCTCCTCTTGCCCATATCCCCAAAGTCCTGTCAACAGTGGGTCTCTAGCTGGCTTCTGATGCCAGGCTCCAGCGGAGTAAAAGATGACACAGACATCCTGATGAAAAATAAAACTTTAATAAAGTACTCAAATAACAACTTTCTTGGAGTTGTAAGTTCTTCTCTACAGTTTTGCCTGAAAAACAAAAGCAATGGTTTTAGTGTTACATTCCCTTGTCTGCACACACATCCACATATCTATTCCCCCCACTTCCTAATCTTTTCACTGGGAATGCTTCATAAGGTATAATACTGATCTGTCAGAGGATCTCTTAAAATTCTGAAGTCTAAAACTAAGAACATGACAAGCCTTAATATAACCTCAAAATGACTTGTTCCACACATTTCTTATCTACAGCTCTGCAAAGCTGCCTGACAAAAGTTTTTCAACCATTTTTTCTTCCTCTTACCTCTTCATATTTGATGTTCTTCACAAGCTCTTCTACAGAAAAGGGATAAGTACAGCCTGGAGGAACAGTCTGGGTGAAACTGAGAGGTCTGAAGGAATTGTCTTTTCCTTGGATAGAAAAGAAAAAAATAAGTTGAATGCAAAATTATGACTACTAATATTTAAAAAAGAAACACACACTGAGAGGTATGCAATAGGTCGTTCCTTACCTCTGGCAGCTGCTATGCAAAACAGAAGTTCTTGCTGTAGAAGTCCATCAGGCATCAAGGAGGGCTGGCAGCAGATGTATAAGCAAACACAGCTGTGTGCCAGCAAGTGTAAGCATGGCCTGGGCAGCATACCTCAGTGCATACCTGCCTGATTCTTCTCAAGGGATGAAGCCATTGAATCATTCATGCTGGGCAACAAGTTGAAAAAAAACTACAAGTAGTTGCAAAGGGATTTAGAACACACCTCAGCTGGCAGAAATGGAGGGAGAGGTGAAACATTACAACTTTACAATGCTTGCAGTGAGGAGTTTGTGTTTAGATACAAACATGGCTGCCTGGAAACCCGAGTTTCCATCTATTTACACTGAGATTAGTCACCCAAACCTGTACATCCACAGTACTGTAAAATCAGTATAATTAACAAAGAATTAGAACGCAGTCAGTGGTGCAAGTGGCAAGTGATATTAGGAGTGAGCATTCCTTCAGGGATGTATGTGTTCCTCCTTTAGGATCAGTTCTTCTCCAGAAGGAAGGTTATGAAGAACATTCAGATGTGTACTTACAAATGCCTTCAAATAACATGCAGTCACTTCATTCTCTTAGGTTTCAAAGAGCATACTGAAACAATCCAGGTTAACATGAATGAGTTAGTCTACACATAATGAGAAATGATCTGCCCTCCTTCAGCATAACACCACTTAGTTTAGGAGCAGATTTGGAATGGAAACAATTTTGTCAGTATAAAAAAACAAACAGATCTTACTTATATGGCTATTTTTTACTTTGTCTACTTCTAAGATTAAAAATCAAGGAAGAAGCTGTTTTTCACTCTGCATTACACTGTGGTAACTAAAATGGACCTCGGCTGTTTCCCTGCTGCTGCGTGTCACTGCATGAGTTGCTACACCCTAACTCATAGGAAGTAAACCCTGTTTGGTCTAAAAGCAGACATAAAGAAGAGAGCAAAGTTTGACAAAACACATTACAACTGAAAATGAAGGATGTGATCTTTTGGAATCTGCATTGTAAGTGTATTTTTTGGGAGAAAATGTAAAACAAAAATGAAATGTGCGAAGAGCCAGGTTATAATTGCTATAAATTACCTTTTGGATCCTCTAATTTTTCATTCAAACTTTCTTTGCATGATAGTTTTTCAATGGGTGTAATTAAGTTCTCTTCTGTAGAGAAGGAGAATGAGAGAGAGAAAAAGATGGAAAGACAGAATTTTAGAGAAAGTATATGAAGAATCTGGTTAGGTGTTACCAAAGAAATGAAGAAAAGCAGAGCAAGAAAGAATACCTGACACTGACATAGCTATAATTTCACATACTCCTTTTTTAAGTCACAGTTCCTGCTTGTAAAAACTATGTTTTCATTCATTTAGAAAGTAGCTCAAAAAGTAACTAGTTAACCACCAATGCAGTCACATTATAGTCATACCAATGCATAAATCACAAGTTTAAGCATTAAGGTGTATTCGCAAAGTCAGTTGATCGCAGCTTCACCATTCCTTACAAATAAAGCATTTGTAACCATTTATTCTTATGTTATTTCACCCTAGAGCAGCATCGTGGGTCCTATGTGTCTGCCTTAAGTGTTGTTGCCTGCCTGGTACATAAAATATTAGCATATATTATTTAAGATACCAATGGAAATAATGCTAAGTGTTTTCAGACACATTTTTTAAAGATTATTCTTCTTTAAGTTTTTAGTAGATAGCCACAGTAAGACAAAAGTGAGATTTTACCACTAGCATTTACCTAAGTTTGTTTATAGCCCAATTCAATACATAGCTGTCTAGCTTACTAATACATACTTATGGAAACAGCTCTGCCTTTTTCTGTCTCTTCCTATGCAAGAGTATTTTATCAAAATCAACTTACTTTAAGCACACTGATCTAAAATCTCTGAAACCCAGAAATTATTTATGATGATTACTTTAAAAAGTGTTTTATTCCATCATTCCGGTTTGATGCTGTTATTTTTCCATTTCTTAAGTGCTCTCCATGATTTCAGATGAGCAACTTAAACTTCACCTGACTTCCAAAAGGAAAATGTTTTGATAACACAGCTGGGGGGCTACTAAAGCTTTAATTAAGAAAGCATGCAGCAGCTGCATATGAACAAGCCTTCTAAAGTTCTTGTACAAACACATTAGGTCAGATGGTGTAACACTATAATGCTATAATGTACAGAAACACAGGAAGAAAAACTGCTTACCTTTGGGAGGCCTCAGGTAGGCAGAGACCTGCAAGCAAGATACCCTTATCTCCACTACCAACCCTTAACATGAGATCTGGGAAGGCATGAATCTTGGTTCCACCCCTTCCAGTCACTCAGTACATTGCTTGCACCTTGAGCTCCCCTGGGTTGGCCCTGCCTTCCCAGCAGGTGCTCAATCACTGGTTCAAGTCCTGACTAGCATTTCTGCTGCAGGTGGTCATTAGCATTGATGTTGGGAGTGACATATGCTGACTTCAGAGCTGTTAGGGTGACCTCCTATCACAGGGTGATGGGACTATCTAGTGGTCAGAAGGTAGATTTTAGTCTCAAGTCCTATGCTTACCTCAGTGAAATCTTAGATTAAGCCATTTAACTTGTTTAAGCCTTAGCCTTCACTCTATAAAATGCTGATAAGAGCATTTTCCAAAGGTAATACAAAAGGCATCTCATTGGAGGTTTCTTGCTGAAAGTGAGGGGGCTTCCTGTCTGCCAAGCTGGTATCACTAAATGATGTTAGGCAGTATTTTGATCATATGAGCTTAGTATGCAACACCTCATTTGTTTTCATATGTGAGACTGCTGTTTCATAGAGTTCCACATCACACTGACCAGGCAGTAGTGAAATTGAGCTATTTGCTTAAATTACCACAGTGAGAGAATCAGTTTAAGAGACAAAATCTGTCCTGACAGAACTTTATTCTAAGAGTTAGTCTGTACTTCCTTTATGACCTGAAGGCAAGAGACGTAGCTTAGATATGAAAAGATTACTTTGAGTCTCTGTTGAAGTTAAGAAAAATAAAGTTTGCCTATAAGCTGAGCTTGACAATAAAAGTAAAACTGGAGGGTCTAAAATAAATTAATTAAGTAAAATATGATGAAAAACAAGGTGACTGCTGTTTGTTACACTTATACCTGTATTATTTCTGTTGAAAGGCAGTCCTTCTCCAACATGTGCCAATGGCTTGGAAAACAGCTGGTTGTTCCAGGTTCCATGAGATCCTTCTTTATTGATTGCTACTAAAGAGACAGTCTTAGGGTTTACACCTTAAAAAAGAAATTATGGCAGATGTTATTAATTTCCATACATAATTCAACCAATGAAGAATTAGACATTTCTAGAACAATAAAGCAAAACTCAATTATTTCTTACATAACATAAGTATTATTAATGTAAGTCAAAGGACAACATCCATTGATTAGGTTATATTTCTCAACTGAAAATTAGATACATGATTTAAGAACTCTTGTTTTTATGCATTCAAGAGAACTTCTGGTAGTTTTACTGCAGTTACTTGGTGTCCATAAAATCATAACCTTATTGATATCTATGGCCCTTAAACAATTAGCAGAAATGAAAGAAACCTACTGAAAACAAAGGTTCTCAAGGCTAAAAATAAGCTTTCTTCAGAGGAGAAGTTTAAAAATAGGACAAAAGTTCTTGTTATTTCAGCATGTCACGAGCATTAGTGAGTTAATGGGATTACACTGCATGAAAGCAGCTCACGTATCCAGTGGTAACAGAGCTATATTGATAAGGGTAAATAACAAATATGCTTCTTGGAACTATTATTCTCTTAAGTGCTGAAATATATATTTTTTAAACTACTATGCCATTCTCATTGAAAACTAATAAAAATAGAGAAGTATTAGAAGCATGCTTAGAAATATAAGAAGTGTAGATTCACTTTCTATTTGTTATCTTTAAATAGGAAAGCTTTTTTCCCCTCTTTTGGGCAAAGTGTTGAATCTTAGAGCATCCTATTAAGCATTAAAGAAGTGATTTCATACTTAGAAGTTATCACTGTGCTATACATGGGCATCTTCTTCACTTCTCAGATACACTTGCTCATGGTCAGTCAGGATATATTTCCAGGTGTCCAAGAAATCGTGGATTCATATTACTGAGGGTTTTATATGCTGCTGGTCATAAGAGCTTCTGTGAACATTTACGCTGTACAAGCAGTGTTGATCACTCTTCCACTTACGCATAGCCAGGACTTTTTGCATTAATAGTGGAAAGATATGTTCTTGGAAAGGCATTTAGTCCAAAATTTTAAAAATTTAGCTTGAGTAGGAAAAGAGAATTATCCAGTGTGAAATCTGAAGTTTAAATGTACTGTATATAGATTGTTCACTGTTTGCATTTTCCATGACGTGTTGACTTTTCCCCTTACCTGGCAGATATCTTGATTGTCTTAGATAGTACTGTTTTGCTGTTGTATTGGATCTTCCAGAATCATTTCTCACTATACCTTTATTTTCTGCTCCTGGCTGGATATAATGTGAAACTTTTGGTTCTGGCACACTGAAAAAAAAAATCAAAATGTTCAAGCTGTGTAACCAACAAGTCCACATTAGAATGCCATGAGCTGATCAGTAGACTTCATTCCCTCAGAAAGTAACAGCTAAATCTCATACCTCATGAGAATTTTACATGAGAATATGAATGGGGAAAAAAAGAAGTGTATACAATATATAGACTTAAAAGCAACTGTGGCAGAACTTCCCCTAGCCTCACTGACATGGGAAATCAAGTACCACTTCAGTAAAACACGGTTTCTTAAAAACAAGATAGACACCTATATAATGGATAGAATTACAGATATTACTGGTGCTACATCAACACCCAGCTCAAAGCTGGCCTGTTCACAGAGCACTTTGCACTATGGCAGAGTTTCAGCAAGTTAAATTTTAGCAGATCTGTTTTAACCAATCTACTGATCTAAAACATTTATGTACTAAAAAACATTTTTTATACAAGTGATTTTATAATTCCAGGACCTACCTAAAAAGACATTCCTTGTTTTTCTTTTCTTTTAACAGTGCAATGCTAGGCTTCTTTGAACACGACATTCCAAATTCAGCATCATCCAATTCATCCCAGCTGTCCACAGCCTTTATCAAAGTCTGACCCCATCGTCTCCTGCAACTTTTAGGACCTACTGTGCCATTCTGGGGGCCACTAGCTGCTTGTTTCTATTTCAAATATGAACAAAAGAAGAAAAAAATGCAACTTTGATTAAATTCTAAAACTTTATATTTTCCATACAGTTGATTTCTACTGCTTAAAAACATTGAAGGTTTTTTTAACTTTTAAGATTCTTACAAACTAAGAAATTGTAAGGTTACAAGAGTTGCTCAGTTGCCTCTATTTACTGGTAGCAATCAAGAAAATTAATGCCATAAAAAAGGCAGCTTGCTCAGGTATTTTCCTGCTTAAGACAATGAAAATTTTTACTTTCCATTTCTTTTTTTTTTTTTTTTTTTTTTTTGTATACTAACATTGTTTTTGCAAATTATTTTGCAAAGCTCTGTAAATGATTGTTGTTGTAACTACATCACTGCAACAACGTGTCAGCAATTTGGTGACTGCAGTCAGAGCAGGGTTGGTCTCTTCTCACTGGTGAGAGGATGAGGGGAAATGGCCTCAAGTTGCACCAGGGGAGGTTTAGGTTGGATATCAGAAAAAACCTCTTTACAGAAAGGGTTGTTAAGCAGTGCAATAGGCTCCCCAGGGAGGTGGTTGAGTCACCATCCCTGGATGTATTTAAAAACCGTTTGGATGTGGTGCTCAGGGAACAGGATTTAGCAGAGGGTTGTTAGGGTAGTGTGGTTAGGTTGTGGTTGCACTTGATCTTGAAGGTTTTTTTCCAACCTGAGCAATTCTATGACTAAAGATTATTATAACAGAATGTAAACTGTTGTTACAAGGAAACCATGTATGTCTAATCCATGGCCCAGCACAGCTCACAATGCAGCCTATGTATAAGTGGCCCAAAACAATCCCTCTCCTCTCAGCATGGCTCAGGCATGCCAAGAAGTCAGACATCCATGAAGTAACCTACTTTTCTCATTTGCTGAAAAATTTCAGTAAGTGATTAGTTATATTCTCAAATAGTCCTTAATTTGATTGCCTTTTTTTTTTTTTTTTTTAATAAGTATGGTGATTTTCAGTGAGCAGCCACATTGAATACCTTAAGAATTTCTAAAAGAACCACCTGTCTAAGTTAGGTATTTACTGAAGACAACTTACCCCAGATGAGTCTTTACTGATAGCTGGAAAAAATGACTGTGCCTGTGACTGCTGCTGTTTTGATGCTTGCTGGTTAGCTGTATTCTGGGGCAACTGAATTTGCTGGAGAGGCTGGTGATTAGCCTTTGACAGAGACTGTGGCTGTGTTTTGTCAGGTTCATCAGGTGAAGACAGAGGCTCTGGCTTGGATACAGCTTCCAGTTTGGGTAAAGTTGGCTTTGGTTCTGTTGACTGCACTGGTTTAATAGGAGTCTGCTTCTCCAAATATTGTGGAGGAGGTCCTAAAACTTGGCCAACTTGAAAGTAAGGGTACTTCAGTGCCTAGAGAAGAAGATATAACATACTAACTGTACTTCAAAAAGTTGACTTTGGTTACTTCTTCGAGGATATGAACATGTTTCTGAAGCACTTGAGTAATATCTACCACAGTAATGAAAGACAGATGCATAAGGAGTTCATGTGTAAATGTTGTATTTAGCCACCTCATACAATTTAGTAAGATGGATCCACCTGTACGTGTTATAGAAGTCTTTTTCTTCCTTCTGTGTTTGGTGAAGTCTGTGTTTTTATGTGCATTTTGCATTTCACTCCATTCTAATATTCACACAGTAACAAATTACTACTTAAAAACAGGTTGTTTGTACTATATTAAAAAACTCTTGGTTCCCTATTGCATGTTTCCCTGCTAACCATATTAGATATCTTACAAATACACCAGTTCTCCCTGTGAACAAGTTCTTCTGCTATTCCTGGGTCAATTCCTACTCTTTGTTAGTTCTCAAAGAGATTTTTTGCCTCAGCTGTTCTTGAAAATCACTGCCTTTGTACACCCTTCCATGAACACACATTAAACTTTCCCTTTTGGTTATGGATTGCACAACTGTGCAGCTGCTTCCTTGCCAACTCACTTGGGCAGAACCTGGTTATTTGCTGCCATAAAGTACCATGCAGCATTCTGCACAGAGATGGATAGCACTGCACTACAGTTTGATCTCAGTGACTGTAACAATACGTATGCTTTATAAAGTAGACATACATGGTTGTTCTGCTTTGCACCACCTGCTTAGCCACTTTTGAATCACTTTCATTATGTCCACCTATGATAAACTCATCACCTTCTTTTTGTTTCTCAACTGCACTCTTCTCATACCTTCTAAATAGAATTGCATTAGCTATACATACTCAAAAATAAGTAGAATGTATATATCTTTGAAATACCTATACCTAATTTTTTAAAATTAACCTAGGAAAAAAACATGTGACCTTGGTGACCTATTGACACGTTCTTCTCAAACTTCTTCCCTTATTACTCTGTACATTGTACAGCCTATTTCCTAGTAAAAAAAAAATAAATTATCCTGCACTGTCCCTACAGCATTCCATTTGCAACTTCACAAAAACAAAGCTTTGTTTTCAGTATCTCCCAGTGAAGTGTTCAAAAGCGTACTTTAGCCTTCAGTATGATGACAATCAAATTATATTTCTGCATCTACCAATTTTTCCCAATGCAAGACAATGCAGTCTTATCCTTATAATTCAGGTGCTCAGACCTGGCTTGCCGTAGGTCTCTTCTTTGGATTCCAGTTCAGCATATCACTCATAAGCTGTATGGCTTCACTGCTTGCATTTGGGATGAGAGTTTTTAAACTTATAGGGACGCACTGTGGGAAACGAAAATTCATGGCAGAAGAGAGGTGGTATCCTTCTGGCCAGTCACTCTGTTTAAAAGGAAAGAAAAACAAGTTTAACAAAAGATTATGTGTTTGAGGTATTAGATCAAGTTATATTTTTCTGTAGCTTGATTCATGCTTGGCCTGTGTAGTTCCTTCCTATACAGTGAAAAACAAGCATTACTGTTTTTTGTTGCAATTGCTATGGCCCCAGTCAATTCAGCATCAGATTCAAGTGGCAGTCCTTCTTCTGTAGGTGAAGGGGGAACTGTCTTTGTGCATGCAACACTTGGACGTACTCTCTGAAGGAGAAGAAATTGCATATGTATCAGAAGCATCTAAGCACATCCCATCTATTACAGAAATAAGCTTAAACAGTTGATTTCTATTTACTTGCTACATGGGAATACTAGAGGTGAGGCCTTTCTACCCAGCTGCATGGAAAAATACAGATCACAGCCTGAACAGATAACTTGCCCATGAGAAAGGGCTCACGTTTGCTTGGGAACACAAGTAAACAGCCTACAGTTTCTGCATGCAACTAGAAGAAACCTGCTTGTAAGAAATTCCTTGGCAGCTGTGACCAAGTATCCTTGCTTTCTACAAAGGATCTTACTTATCCTGATACATGATGCATTATTGTCTTGTGCTGCTATATATATGGCCACAGTACTAAGGGGGGGGGGTTAGGCTGGCTGCCACCAGGTAGGGCATTACCTGGGGGGTAATCCCAGGGTGGACATGCTACAAGCCTGTTACTCTTAGTAATGAGGACACAGCAGAGACTGACTGGCTGGCTAACAGCCCCATTAACACAAATATCTCCCTATTGAACTGATAGTTATTAACTTGCATCTACGTATGTTCTTTGGGATCAGTAAAGCTTATGCAGAAGCAGTGGCTCTTTTGCATTACACCACCCTACCACATTTGTGCAACCATGATGTGAACAGATGTGCAACGATTTAATCTATCACTGACTCTATCATTAAGGCATTCGGTGATTTAACTATAACCAGACATTACTGCAATAGGAAAATCATGACCATAAGATGAAAACTTAGTGGGTTTTTGTGTGAGACTGTTTAACTTTCAACAAGTAAAACCTGAAGTCCTTGGTTGCTTGATAATTGCATTGTTCAAATACAGAATCCTAGGACTGGCAAAGATCTCAAGAGATTATCTAGTCCATGCTGGTCTCTTCTTCACAGGTATTATTGTCACAAAGTTTCCAGTTCCACAGACACAACTGCTATAGACAGTCTATTGCACAGACTAACTCCCCTCCAGAAGAGAAAAATACACATTTCTCTTGTTGCAATACAAGACCATTGCTAAGGATGCTATCATCCCTGGATACCAAGAACAACTACTACTTTTGTCTCTAAAGCAGCCTGTTTAAAAATTAGCTGCATTTCTTGTTCTTTCTTTCAATCTTCCTTTGCAGAAGCTAGAGAAGATCAAACAATTGAATTCTTGGATCTTGGATTTTCAAGTTTTTCTCCTCTGGACTCTGAAACATAGAGCTCTTCCTTGAAATGCAAAACTTATAAATGGAACAGAAAGATTAGCTTGTATGTCAATGGACTGTACTTCTTTCTCTACGCATTGATACGATATTTGTTCCAACACACCACTGATGTACAATGCATTATATAGCTCCTACACCTTCTTCTAAAGAAATATTAGCTGGGTAGTTATCCTCAACTATTTAGTCAAGAATAATTAGAACTGCATAAGTACAGCGCTCAAAAGTCTTCAGTAATATATAAACTGCAACTAATCTTATAGGAAATTCTGAATTCTAATCTTGTCTTCTAACATACTCAGTCCTTCCTAGCCTGTTATCTGCCAGTTTACAAAGGAAAATCTATTCCACCAGTAGGCCTTCAATCCTGCTCACCACACCATTCCTGATCCACCCTGGGATAAAATAGAGCAAAGTAGTTGCCTGTCACTACTAAATATTGTTAAACAAAAGCCAAAAGCAACCAAATCAACCAACAGAAGTCATCAGCATGGTATTACAGACTTAAGCCACTAAAAGGAAGGCAATTTGAACCAAAGACAACTTCTGGGCATAACTCCTGTCATTCCTTACAGCAAGTTAATGGAATAAATAAGTCTACATCTAAAAATTCAATTTATTGAAACTTTATCTGCAAAAACAGAGTATTAAAATAGCTGCTTGTGTTTTTCAGAATACAGATAACACTTCACCAGAAACAAGTCATTATTTGTGGTGATCAATTGTATGATAATATTTAAATACCCTTCTTACACAGCACTCTCATAAGGAGATAAAAGTCCCAGGACTGCCCAACAGATGACAGAGGCACAAAGCAACTAATTACAGCTTTCTGATCTTAGAGGGCTGACTTATAGTGTCTCTAACCCCTCTGGTCTTTACAAGAGGCTACATTTTTCTCTGAAATATTCAGGCAGCATTGCTCCCTCCTTTCTCAAGCAACCAGCTACATGCTTCTTTTCAACAACTAATAAAGTTACAGAGCCACATCAGTGACCTCAACACTGCTCTGCTACACATTGTTAAGTCTCCCTCTGATCTGCTTGCACGCCCAGAACTTGTGCTATGCACTGAAAATGTTCCAGAAGCTCAAGTGTTCTTCTCTTTCTTAGATAATTTAATGAGCTGCTAAACATTCTTATCCTAGTCTTGTCAGCTCCTCAAGAAAGAATTAACATCTGGGTTTGATAACTCAATTCTTGAAATAGTGCTACATATTACACATTCTGATGCATGATTGTCATAGAAAGCACTGTTTTATATGTAACAGTTTTCACCTACTCATCTAGTCTCAGTTTTCACTGCCACCAGTTATATATCTCACATATAACTCCACCTTTGACCTTTCATACTCTGCTCTGTCATGAACTTGCACCTGTTTCTCAGTACATTCTCTTAGATCTTTTCCCATCACTTTAAGCTCCTAGCTACATTTACTCTACTTTAGTTTTAAGTTTTCTGTTCCTCAATTTTCTACTGACAACAGCTTCTGTACTGTATGAGAGTTGCACTTTATTTTATATTGGCACAACACCAGTGGTTTTCCAAATCTAGAGACTCCGTTCAGTCAGTAATTTCACAGGTATCTATTTATACCCATGGACAAAATGCTCATAATACATCTTACCTTAGCCACCACAGTTTTCTTCCCTAAATATATTTTTATTATATTGCCTATTTTTTTTTTTCCAATTTATTCAGAATTTGGAAGGTAAACTTATTTCCTTTTATTCCAATTGATTCTGATATCTCCTCACTGCTTCATTAGACACTTCAGTTTCAAGGCTTGGCATAAATCTATCCCTGCTTACACACTCCCTTTTTCTTCATCCTACTTTGCTTTCTGCCATCACATTCTTTGACTTTTGTCAAGCTACAGTGTTCGTTTTCTCACATTCTTGGTTTGCACTTGTTTTGAGCACTTCTTAGGAATTTATTCTCTTTTGAACATTCTTTGACAACTTCTGCAAACTCACCGACTCACCTTTTCAATCTGTGTTTCTGTATGTCTCTGCATTTTAGCTGTTGCATTCTGATTAGTTCATGTCTTCATTCAGTACAACTCATAACACTTGTAATTCAGGGATTAAGCATATTTAGTTGGTATTGAACAACATGTATTGAAGCTAACTTGCAGGAAGTATTTGTTGTGCAAAACAAACTCATGTTCATATACCCTTTTCCTGAAAACTTTAACAGAAGTAAGTATAACTGTACGCGTTCTTACATGCACTACCCAAATGTCCCTTGTAGGTCTTAGTTATTTTCTGAAAGAGCTAAATATCTTGAGAAACCATTTTCCTTCATTACTTTGTTGTTAAGGACACTATCCGATGGATTTGTGTTTGAGATCAAGTATTTCTTCCATGCTTAAAAAGTAAGAAAATATCACAGTTCAGCTTATTCAGAGTAACTTCCACAAACTCCAAATTCTAGGTACCAGTATTGAAAAATTGGAGTTTTGGCAAGGGAAAACTAATCAGTTGTGGCAACATGAAATCCTAAGACTAATTTCTTTTTTCCTTTTTTTTTTTTTTTTTTCCAGTTCTTCTTATGTGCATGACTTTAGTTAACTAAATAGCTTTATCTGGCTTTCATCATAGAGTAGCACAGGATTACACATAATAGTAGGATATAAAACATGCTTATAAGCATGAAATGCTAATACACTACACAAGTCCAGTATTCTGTGCCTTAGCAGATGTCTCAAAAGACAGAGTTGAGAAAACTTAACTCCACAGTAAAATTACTAAAACAAATTTATATGTATGTTCTGGAAGCGCAATAAAAATAAATAAAGTGGTTATAAAATATTGAATAAGTAGTATTGCATGAGTTCTAGAAGTCTTACCTTCTTTGGAGTTCCTAATACTTGGCAAATTTTGAAGATTTCATCTACTTCACTTGTGCCTGGGAAAAGGGGTCTTAGTGTGTATAATTCAGCCATGATGCTGCCAACTGCCCATATATCAATAGGGGAGCTATAAATGGATGATCGCAGCAGAACTTCAGGAGCACGGTACCTGTGAGATGGGAAAAAGTAATACATAAATTAAAATGGTAATCAGAGAAAGGTAGTTCATTAAGATAATGTATTAATTTCATCCTATACTTACCACCTGGTGGATACGTAATCTGTATACGGTGGCTGAGATCTCAGCTCTCTAGCCAAACCAAAATCAGCTATTTTTACAAGTTCTGGACCAATACAAAGAAGGTTTTCAGGCTTCATGTCTCTATGAAAAAATCCTGCAGGAAATTAAAGAGAAATTACGGTAAATTGCGTAATTATTTCTTAAATAGCAAGGTCCAACAGTCATCCAAAATTCTGGCTTTTTTTTTTTTTTTTAATTCAACATAAATGAATGGCAACCCCACTCCCAATGCACACATTTAACCTCCAGTGATTATTACACCACATATTCTTTAATTAAATTAAATTTTAATGAAATTTAAAATATGTCTGTGTTGTGCTCAGGAATGCTAATATTTGTAATTCAGGCACATTAAGTTTCTTGAATGCTTAGTGCTGGGCTTGCTTTAGCAGCTATGTACCTGGAAAGCAGGTAAGTAGTTGAGCAACTCAGTTCTGTTGGTTAATTGGTAGACAAGATCTCTTTATAAAACAATTTGATTGATATTCACTTACTACAGCACAGCATACAATTTCTGCATGCAAAAACTGACAACCATTGTAAGCAAGTGGCTGAAATTATTACAGTGAAATGTAACTGCTTGAATTTACCATCTGTCTTATTCCTAGATACTTGTGTATAAAGCAAAACACTAATACAGTAACTTAGAAATGGCAGTTTTACCACGAATTCTAGCTTTCTCATTTATTTCATGGAAAAGGAAGGAAGGAAAAGAAAATGCTAATAATCAGAGAACAATATATGACCTTGATCAGAAAGACAGAAGCCATCATTTTCTGGCTATCTGACAACACTAAGTGGAACTGATTTTTTACATGAACCCATCTGTGCCAGAATAAGTCAAATCCTATCAGAAATCACTTTGAGTGAAACTTTAACTATTTTTGGAAAGCTTTAAGGATACCATAGTCATGTAAACATACAAAATAAGAGTTAACTAAGAGAATAGAAAATACTTTCTGAAATGCAAAGGAGTTTAGTGTCAGTGTTTCAGAATGGAGATGTATATTACACTTGATAATTAAAAGTGCTGTGAAGCTTTTGTTAATGCAACCACACATAACCTTTTTTTTTCTGAATGTACTTGTAATTGCTCGAAAAGTCTCAACTCTTAAAATATTTCAATCCAAAATGTATTTGATAAGGAGATTATTTGGATTTTTAGTGACCAAGTTGTATTTAAATATCTTTTATAACTAAGGGTGCCATATTAGTTATGATATCTCAAGACAGGTAAGAACTGCCATCTGTAAGGTATAAATGCTCCTTAAATAGATCTTTTTGGAGTAACAGATATGCACAGCATCGCACAGCATTTGAGCTTCTTTAGTTTGTTTATACGGTATCTGAGAAAAGATAAAAGTACTAAACATGTAACTAACAATACCCAGTGTTTTCAAAAAGAAAGCATATCTGATTATAAAACAGGTAACTTCAAATGTTGTTTAAAAACACACCATATTTGAAACAGTCTGGAAAAATTTTTACTAAAGATAATTAAAAGCCTTTGATGAATATTTTTATTACTAATATTTTATTACTGTGCATTGTCTTTTTTTTCTTATGAAAGCGTTATACAGGCAAACTCCAGTGTCAAACCTACCGTGTTTATGGATGAAAGCTAACCCTTGCAATATCTGATACATCATGTTTCTGATGACTGACTCAGGGAACAACTTGTTTCTGTGAAGAAAGATGAATAATTTCATAAAATTAAAAGACAGTACTTTTTCCTGTAAGACAGAACACACATTTCCTCATTTTGCACAGTATGTCCCAAACAGATTAAAACAGACCTGTCAAGTCTTACATACACAGACTCACATAGAATGTGTCAAAAATATTCCTTGCTTCCAAGCCATAATTTTGCTATCTTTACTGCAGAGTGACTTCTCAGCAGAGAGATGTCTACTTGCAGATGAATCTGGCTGCCCTGTAGTATGCTTGACCAAATGAATGCACACACTGTATTAGAGCAAGCAAGAGACTGCCCTGCATAGCACCACTGTCTATGTGCTACCCAGTGGTATTCTTATGGAAGCCTGAGCAAGAGCAATGCTTCTCAGCTGTAAGTTAACATCGCACTGATGCTGCTAACAGCTACCTAAAGGCTTTGTGCATAAGGAGATAAAGGTACATGACAGAACCTGAAGGAAACACAGTAAAGGCAACAAGAATTCAAAGAAAAATGTTATTAAAATGGCAAGTCCTATTCTAAAGTCCACCATGAAAGCATTGCTTTGTGCTGTTTCTCCAAGACTACCATATCATACAGTACACATAATGATCTTCATGTACACTCATGCATGCTCATGAGAAGATGATCACTCCCACCTTAAGCCAAATCCATTAGCAAAAGCAGAATGAATGGCATCGGTCCAATCCTTCATGTATTAATGAAGGCTAATAAAGAAAAAAGTATTTGGAATTTCTCTTATGGCTCAATAAATACGAAAGACATGCAAATTATCACATTAATAACTTCATAAAGTCTTACTCCCAGAAGTATTACAATGTGCAATGCTGTTATGCTAAGCAGTGCAGAATTTTACCCACAGATAAGCAGGTGCAGCTGATTCTGTTCACAATCAGTAGGGCTGCAAGAAGAGACTAAAACAGAAATTCCAGTATGTTCTTCAAGACAGTATAAGAAACATACATAGAGGATGATAGCACACTACTTGCTCTCTGAAAAAGACATACCTGTCCTTCATCAATTGATAGAGATTTTCCTTCATGTATTCAAACACAAAGTAAAGGTGGTCATTTTCTCTTATGACTTCTTTCAATTTTATTACATTGGCATGATTTAGCTTCTTCAGAGACTGTTTTAGAGACAAATACAGGGTTTCAGATAACTTGACATTGACTATCTCCTTACCTGAACTGCATTTGTACTACATAAAAGTTTCCAGTAAGGAATTAACAGAACATATCATCAGGTAGCCTTAATTATCTTATAATCTCCCTTTACCTCTTAAAGCAACAAAATAGCATTTTAAATTAATTTCAAAATAAAAGCAGCAAATATTAACAGCTTAAAATTCTATCTGTGGGGATTACATCATAGCTGAGGTGAAGAATAACACAGGAACTTAACTGCCTAGAATGAAAGGCCATTCTGCACCTCTAACAATTTTTGCTTACAGAACTGAGTAAGAAAGCCTAGCAATTTTTTTGTTTGGATCATAGAATTACCAAGTTTGGAAAAGACCTCCAAGATCATTCAGTCCAACCGTCCACATACCACCAACACTGTACACTAAACCACATCATTCAGTACAACATCTAAACATTTCTTGAGCACTTCCAGGGACTGTAACTCTAACACCTCCCTGGGCAGTCCGTTCCAGTACGTGGCCACTCTTTCAGAGTTTTTCCTCATATCTAACCTGAATACCCCCTGGTACAACTTAAGGCCATTCCCTCTAGTCCTATCACTAATCACACAATAGAAGAGGCCAATTCCCATCTTGCCACAACCTCCCTTCAGATCGTTGTAGAGAGTGATAAGGTCTCCCCTGAGCCTCCTCTTCTCCAGACTGAACAATCCCAGCTCCTCATAAGACTTGTGCTCCAGACCCCTTGCAGCTTTGTTGCCCATCTGTGGATGCTCTCCAGGGTCTCAATGTCTTTTTTTTGTAGTGAGGGGCCCAAAACTGAACACAGTACTCGAGGTGCAGCCTCACCAGTGCCAAATACAGACAGATGATCACTTCCCTGCTCCTGCTGGCAATGCTATTTCTAATACAAGCCAGGATGCCATTGGCCTTCTTGGCCACCTGAGCATGCTGCTGGCTCATGTTCAGCCAAGTGTCAACCAACACCCCTAGGTCCGTTTCCTGCCCTCAGACTTGCAGCTGCCCTGCCCAAAGCCTGCAGCATTGCCTGGGATCATTGTGGCACAGTACAGGACTCAGCACTTGGTCTTGTTGAACTTCATAGCATTGGCCTCAGCCTAGCTATCCAGCCCGTCCAGATCTCTACATAGGGCCTTTCTACCCCCCAGAAAGATAGATTGCCAACTTGGTGTTACCTGCAAACTCACTGAGAGTGCACCAGGTCATCAATAAAGATATTGAACGGGATAGGCCCTGGTACTAACACCTGGGGAACATCACTCATGACTGGTCACCTGCTGGATTTAGCTTCATTCACCACCACTCCCTGGGTCTGGCTATCCAGCAAGTTCCTTACCCAGCATACAGTGTACCTGTTTGAGCCCTGGGCTGCCAGTTTCTCCAGAAGAATACTGTGGGAGATAGTGTCAAAGGGTTTCTGTTTTTATGAATAAGGATACACTCTTTGCAGGTTTCATTTCTGGAGATATTATGTGCTATTTCCAGTAAGTTAAACCTGAACTGTGGATATTCAAGTTACGAACACTCAATGCCTCTGGTAGGGAGTTTCATATTTAGAGAAATGTAGAGGCCTGAAACATGGGATGACTTGAAATTTAAGGCAAGGTTTTCAAGGTCAAGTTTTATTCTGTCACTTGGGTAGCCAAAACTTCCAGTGTTTTTAAAAGTGTCTCAAATACATGATATGAGGATTGCCTAAACACCTAAAAACACGTGCAAGAGTAGGCTGGTAAAACACATTAAAAATGTCAAATTAATCATCTTCTCTCAAAGACAAGAGGCTTGGCTACAAGACATGGCCACTGCATGAGAAAGGGAGGATATTCCACAAAGCAGAAGCAGCTCTAGGAGTTCCAGAAACTCACAGCTTTTTGGAGCTTGTGACTCCCACTTAAAGAGTTCACTGAGTTCAGCCTGATGCTTGTGCATAGTCTATGCTCTTTTCCTTCAGACAAACCTAACCAGACACTTATTTTCAAGTGTGGTATGTTCACCATTTTACCTTGACTTCTCTCAAATTCATGCACTCATCCCATGAATAGAACTTCCTTTTCATTCTGAAATAAAAGTCAAAGAAAGTATTTCCAGTAACAGAGAATGCTTTTAGAACAAAACAAGATCCAGATACGTTATTTTCTTAATACAGCACTAGCTCTTTCTTGAACCAAATTTAAAACATTCCACAGTACCTTTCAGCAACATAACTCTTATATTTATCAGAAATTTAACATATTTCATGATTAATTGTTGCAAACATTTTTAGTTGAGCAGTTAACAGGAGACAATTTATACTATGAAGTATTTCTAAAAGCATCGAGAACACACAATCTTGTTGCATCACTTAAATTGTGCCCTTAATAAGGAGGACAGCAACAGTGACACTGGAAATAAAACATGGATTTTGAAACACGAAAAGCTACTTCTTTTTGCCCAAGTCACACGTTCTAGGAAAACAAGAAAACTTGAAATCTGCAAAGTATCTTAACTGCCTAAAATTATAATTAGTCAACTGTATAGATTAGTCCTTTTTTCCCAAGTCTATTCAAATATATTAATAGTGAAAAAACAGTGTCATTTTTTCAAGCAGTATCCATACATAAAAATATTACACTGTCGTACATAGACTACTGTGTTTATTTGGAAGTCTTAGGTAAAAATATGGATAATTAGGTGTTACTCAGATTTTGGGACTGGGTTGTGAATATCATGTTCTTTACTGCATTTCTCTACAGCTCCAGACCCTACAGAGCAGCTATTTAAAACTAATATTTCAATTAAGAGGGATTCATCTTCATTCAAAACTATTCCTTTTCTAAATCCCCAACCTGAAAAAAAAAAAAAAGAAAAATCACAGAAAACAATTCAAAATCCTGAGATACCAAGAATGGAAAACACTTCCCATGAAACACTGCTCCATTTGCCTGTAAGTTATGCAAATGAATATGTCTCCTGATGTACTAGAAGGAAGTCTGACCCACATTCACTTACCTAAGCAACTGAATTAACTAAATATTTTTTAAAAGAGACATTCCTTTTTTCTTGTACATAGACTGCACAGAGCAATAAAGTCAAAATCTTACATCTTTCCAAGTATCTTTACTCTGTGCAGACATTACATACCGTTTGATGGCCACAAGCTCTCCTGATTCATTGCTCTTTCCCATCAAGACACTGCCATAGGTGCCATCACCCAGCTGCTTCATGATTGTGTAACGGTTCATTTTTTCTTATTAAACTACAATGGCCAAAGGTTTATGAAATTCTGGATGTCTTCTGTACTTTTGAAGGATTTTTTGCCTTTTGATATTTTTTTTTTTTTTTAGAGAAATCTTCTTCCAGATAGCCTAAGGTTGCTGGATGTTTCCTCATAACAGAGCAGGATGGTCACCGGTCTCCTCTGAATTACATGTATTTTGAGATCCACTGAGAGATAGAAGTGCATGGTAATTCTCAGCAGATCCTGAAAAAAAAATAAAAGTGATTCAGCAAATATGTAATTTTATGGTGTTTTAGGCAAAAGACACCCTATAATTTCTTTATAACAGTAACCTGAGATCTATTTGTGTTCTTTAAAATAGAACACCTCAGTATGACTAGTTCCTTTAAATCCTTCAGGCCACTGAAGGTGCCGAGTCTAGGATTAGGGTCAGAGTAAGCAGGGAACAGATAGGCAAGATTACTGTCATAATTCCCTAGTCCTACAGAAGCGAAGAAATTTAACTAGACCCAGGAAAATCTAACAGCTACTCACTGCAGCATTTATTTACTGTAACCTAAGTGCTTAAATACCAACCATCTACTGTTAACCTAATTCCAGCATTATCTCTAACTCGTGTCTCTGCTGTTTAAAAATCCAAAATAACTCCAGTGAGTTGACATGCACTGTCAGCCTACTTCAGCAAGTGATGCAAAATTCAGCACACAGCTTTATCCTCATGCCAGAATTAGCTACAAGTTGGTAAGGCTGTCCAAACAGATTAAGGCACTCAAACTCAGTAGGTAACAAACTTCAGGCTTGAGTTTTACAGGTCTGGCAAAATGCAACAATAAAATTGGCCCCTTAGGAGCATGAAACCAACAAGCTGGAGCAGGCATCTGCTCAGTAAGAGAAACATCTGCCTGGAAAAAGCACTGAACAACCTCTTCTGGTTGATGTTCCTGTAGAAGCCTTTCTTTTTCTTCTTTGCACCCCTTTGCCAAGTCAAGTTCCAGCTGGGCATTGTCCATCCGTACACAGCTTAGCAGCATCCCTACACTCTACCTGTCCCTGCTTCCACTGCCTGTGTTTTTTCTTCCTGCTCTCCAGTTTGACCAGGAGGTCCCATTTCTGCCATGTTGGTTTCCTGCCTTCCTTTCCTCACTTCCTACAACTGGGGATGGAGAGTTCTTGTGTCCTAAGCTTCCTTAAAGATCTGCCAGCTCTGATCTGCTCTCTCATCCTTCAGGACAGTTTCCCAGAGAGGTTTGTTGACTAATTCTCTGAAGAGCTGAAAGTTGGCTTTGCTAAAATTTAGCATCCGGATTTTATTCTTTGTCTGCATAATATCCCTCAAGAGCATGAACTCCACCACTGCACTGTCACTACAGCCCAGGCAGCCTCCAATCCTGATGTCATCAGTCAGTTCACTTGCATTGGTGACCAACAGGTTCAGAATCATATCCCTCCTGGTAGGGCTGTCTAATACTTAAATCAAGAAGTTATCCTCTGTGCATTTCAGGAGCCTTCTGGACCGCCTACAGCTTACTGTGCTGATTTTCTAGCAGATGCCAGAAGACCCCCAGCAGCACAAGAGCCTGCGATAGTGATGTCTCCTGTAGCTGGAGGAAGAAAGCTTCATCAACAGGCTCTGCTTGATCAAGCAGCTTGTGTAGACATCAACCACATGTCTTTCTTTGATATCTCTTACCTAACTCTTACCCAAAGGCTTTTGACTTGCTCATGGCCATTCTTCAGGGATATCTCTTCACACTCTATTCCTTTCTCAACGTAGAGGGCAATGCCTCCTCTTGTCCCTCCTCACTTGTCCCTCCTGAACAGCTTGTAGCTGTCAACAGCCACACTCCAGTCATGGGAATTGTCCCACCAGATTTCTGTCACAGCAACTACACCATGGTTTTCTAGTAGCATGGCAGCTTCCAACTCCTGTTTGTTTCCCAAGTTGTGTGCAATGGTGTAGAGGCACTTACTTCAGCCGGGCAGCCCACCTTGCTGCCTTCTTCCTATGAAGTATTTTCCTTGAGTTTTCCAGCTGCTTTCTCCTATTGTCTCAGAGGTCCTGTTTCACTGTCTTAAGATCTCAAATGTGCTGCAGTGTTGCCAGCACACTCACGGCAGCAGGTTGAGGGTCCCAGCTAGTAGCCTGTCCCTCTAACATTGCCATGCCATCCCACACCTAATCACGGACAGGCCCACTATCCAATTTCCTCCCTCTTTGAACCTAGATTAAAGCCTTGCCAATGAGCCCTGATAGCTATTCCCCAATGTCCCTCCTTTCACTTTGAAAGAGATGAAACCAAACTGGTGCCTGCAAGCCCAGTGCCATGTAGGACACTCCACTGCAAAAACAAAACAAAACAAAAAAAAAACAACAACAAACCCAAATTTTTGGCAGTAGAACTAGCCACAAAGTCAGAGGACCCTTGCATTTCTTTCAGTGTCCTTATCCAGTACAGGAAACAAAGAAGATGACCCATGTCATAGACAATGAAAATCACCACTGTATTTTTTAGTGGGCTTTCATATATACTTTTCCTGTGTATACGTTTTCTCAGAATTCATCTTTATATCTTACTTCCTCAAGTTCCTCAATGCACTCTCATTTTTAATGCTTTGAGCATCATTTCTTCTACAAGACCATTTGTTGGCTGCAGCAATGAACAGATGAACAAGTGTTTGTGCCAAGCTAAGATACATATTTGCCAGTCATATCTTGCTATTTACTGTTCGTTAGAGTTGTGTGTGTGTATATATATACATATATACACATACATAAACACACAGACATTTTATATTTACATATACAACTTCCTGAAGATCTTCCAGAGCACGTTTTTACAACATCTAGAGCAATGACAGACTGTGCACACACAACACAAAGTGAAGTTAATTGTAGGAGGATTTGGATGCCTGCACTTCTCTGTTCCAACAAGCATAACTGCACATTGTTATGACTTGCTTTTCAGGGAGAACACTGCAGTATCTGTCAAATTTGGACCTATATAACTCCTATTCTGGCATTGCATACATTAAACATTTTTGAGAACTCACACATATGAAACATACACTGCATTTCATTTCGACTTTCAGCTTTCTAGTGAAATGAACTAAAATACCAGGAAAGAAAACTCTGCGTTTGTAATAAAGACCCAGATACAGATACACTCCTGATTTTTTGGCCCTTAAGTTCTAGGATCTGGGTGCCTAAATCCTATCAGCTTTCCAAGCCAATTTAGGATGACAAATTAATTACTTTTTATATTATTCTATTTGTCCAATTTGCACTATTATTTCATCATGTGCACTTGAAACAATAACACACAAACCAAAATTCTTATGTAATATAATAGATTGCAGACATAGCAAATGTACATTTTGTCTGTCCTGCAGTATATTTTATTGCCTTATTCCTTTTCTGTGGCATGCCATCATTTTTAGAGCACGAGCACAGTTAATCAAGTTAAGTACAGAAATTTCAGGATGTTCCTTCAGTAGTCAGATGGAAATGTCAAAATCGCTCTGTGAAAAGGCATAAAATCACATGAAAACTATATAACTCAATATTTAAGAACCATAATACACATCACATACATTCACCATAATATGGATGCATGCCAGGCTGTTCTACTGATGACTCTCATGAACAAGTTGACGTAGTCACTTATGTTAACAGTCTGATAGCGATTGGACAAGCAAGAAAGGTTTTAAACTAGAAGAGAGAAAACTGAGGTGAGATGTGAGGCAGAAATTCCTTACTCAGAGGTTGGTGAGGTGCTGGCACAGCTGCCCAGAGAAGCTGTGGTGCCCCATCCCTGGAGGTGCTCAAGACGAGGTTGGATGGGGCCCTGGGCAGCTGAGCTGATGGGGGCAGCCCTGCCTATGGCAGGGGATTGGGACTGGGTGGGTTTTAAGGTCCTTTACATTCTAAGCTGTCCTATGATTCCATGTTTCCATGCTCTAGGCAACCAAATTTTGCTACAATCAACATCTGCACACTTTGTAAAGTTGTCATCATAGTTCTGTCTCCCAAACAGATGGGAAATCCTATTGCAAACAACAGCTTGTTTTATACTCTTAATGACATACTACCTATAATCTCCTCACACAGGATTACGGAAGGATGAAAGCAGGGGACAAATAGAGGACAAAATGCAAACGCTGCAAACCATCCACTAATTTGTATAAACTTAGAAAATCTGAACTATTTTCAAATTTTAAGCAATACTGCTAGTGATTTTAAATATCTGCCTTACAGTTTAAATTAGAATGAATAACAGCCAGCTATCTGCCTTTCTGCCACACCTGAAACAGAGATGACCAAACGTATCACCTGCACACATTAAACGGGCTGCCCACATTAAAACATAAGCCAAAATATACCACCCCAAGAGAAGCAGCAGGCAGATAGGGAAAACACAACCCTGTTTACACCAACCTGCCTGCCAACGCGGAGCTCAGCAGCCCGGCTCACAGCGGGCCAGGACACATCCCACACACATCTCAAGGCGAAACATCGCTCCTCACCCGCACCGCTGACCCGCACCGCTCACCCGCGTCTCCAGCCCCAGCCCCAGCCCCAGCCCCAGCCCCGCACCGCCCGCTCACCGCAGCGCTCCGGCCCAGCGCTGCCAACCGCGAACAGCCGCCCCACCGCTTCGCCTCGTTGCCGGGGCGATGCAGCGAGTGAGCGGAGCCTATGCAGGGACACGCCTCTCCGTGGTCACGTGGGGGAGCGGGGGTTTAAAAACCTGGGCCATAGTGCAGCTGGTTGCCTGCTCTTCTTACACGGGAATATGAGTACGCTCGCTGCTAATTTGCTGTTGAAAGAGTCCTCTTTGGGTGTTGATGCTTGGCTGGAATGGCAGCAGAAGGCGGGTTTCTTGCAAATGGCTTTGCAGCCAGTGACAGCGGGTATGCTGTAATTAATTGGTGTTGTGTGAACTTCACTTTGCTTTTGTTTAGGTTATTTTGATCTGCGCACCTGTTTCCCACTGATGGCTGTGTTGCCTATGGATTCTTGCAAGCCATGGAGGTGTCGTATTGAAATGCCCTCCCCTTTTTGTTCAGTTTAAGCCATACTACTGCATTAACAGCAGTTGACTCCCTCTTCCTTTGTTCAAGACCTCAGGGGTCCAGGGCTGGGACAACACCATGTGCTGTCCTCACTAATTCTCAGGTAGATGGGCTCTAACACCCCTGGGCTAACTTCTCGCCCTTAGGAAGATCTACACCTACTACTAAGGCCTTGGTTCCTGTATCTGCATGCTGCTGCTAACAATAGGAATAATATATTGGAAGGCACCTTAGAGTTCCAACCCTCTGCCATGGGCAGGGCTGCACCCACCAGCTCAGGCTGCCCAGGGCTCCATCCAGCCTGGACTTGAACACCTCTGGAGATGGGGCACCACAGCTTCTCTGGGCAGCTGTGCCAGCACCTTACCACTCACTGAGCAAGGAATTTTTTCCTACTATCTAATGACATGAATGACACAAGCTTTCAAAAATGTGAAGCTCATCTCCTCAGAAGGCCTCCTGTACCCCTGGAAATGCGTTGTGTCCTGCTGCAAGGTCCAGCTTTGTGAATGGGAGTAGCTCAGTTGTATTAGATAACTCCCCCCAAAAAGACGCAGACCTTATAAAACCTTATAAATCCAGAAAGAAACCCCAGAACCCACTCAGGAAAAAGCAAGAAGCAAACTCAGGAGTTCTGCCCTGCTGCACCATTAGCATCTCCAGAGGAGCTCTGCTTCCCGCCTTCCCACTATCGCCTCTGCCTGTGGAGATGATGAAGGCCTCAATGGGTGCCTCAGCAGAGAGTGGCCGCTGAGATCAAGAGAAGCACTCAAAAAATTGTTGAGCAGCCTCTTGTTTGTGGGAAGGGATCCTTTATACATCCAGGCTTTCAAGCCTTGCCGTTAAAAGGCTGCTTTTTGATATAAAGGGCATCCTCAGCCTGGGGACAGCTGGTGCTTTCCTCATCAGCGCTCTTGTTGTTGGTGTGAAGCTGGAGCCACAGGTGGCTGAGTTCAGAAAGCGCATTCTTCCCCTGCACAGCTACACTGTGACAACAGGAATTTGTTAGGCGAGGACATCTGCAGATCAGGATGCGGGCAGCCCAGAAATCATGCTTGAGGGGCACAGTGAATGGAGAAGCTACTTGAGGACTGAAGGGAGCACATCTTTCTTCAAGGCTGCTGGTTCACTCAAGAAACACGCTTTTAAAGTCTATTCCACAGCTATATAAACCAAGCAAGGAGGCACTCGATTTCAGCTTTTTGTTACAGAAGCTAGCATCGCATTCAAACTGCTGTATTTTGGACAGAAAACTATGCACAACACCGGATTGAATCCATCTGCTCTTTTATCTGGAAAGGTTAAGGCATAGGTACATTATCCCAGACACTTGTAGATGAAAAGCAGCAGCACAAAGAGAGGCTGCAATAATCTTCAGAATTTTTATTTGAGGGCCACAGGTGATACAGTGAGCTAATTGCTACCATACCTTTTAATGTGCTTAAACAGCTGCTGTGTTTATTAGACATAGATGTACCCCCCAAAAGTAGCATTTTAACAGTTGTCTGCATTTACTCAGCTGATGTACAAAGTTCTGCTTAAAAGGCTGTGTTTTGAGAGCATATAGCATAACAATTTAAGCACACAGGTACAGCAACAAGCTTTATACCAGTATATTAACAGCACAAAACCCCTACAGCTTGTCCTGGCATTTTTAGCACATCTGAAAATAGAGTTACAGTCATCTAATTTCTCTAAAGCCAATACAAAATGGGGTAGCTTACATCTTTAAAACTCTTTGACTTTGAGATCTTCTACGAATCTCTTTCCAGTCATTTTGCTGGACCTTAATTCCTCTCCCCACCTATACCCCTATTTTTCTTCTAATATTAGGCAGCTTTATCTTAATTTTTATTCTACTCCCAAACCAACTTGATATGTTTGGGAGTACAGATAAGAAGTTCCAGTTCTGTGTATAGGTATGGTGTTGCATATTTCTGAATCCAAAATTTAGTTCAAATTTTCTGGGCAGCAACTTGCCATTTACTTAGCTTAGTGTGTAGGCTAATTATCTCAACTAATGTTGCTCACCTGACTCATTTCTGTAATCTAAACCACCTTGTAGAACTGCCACAAAAAATTAAAAAGAGCCTGGTGAGACAGACAGCAAATACATTAGAAGTCGATATAAGCTTGATGTAGATGAATTCATTTAGTCACTTAATAAATTTGAGCTTTTAAAACGCTGATCAGTCCACTGCTGAGTGTTGTTGGTTAATTTGCTATGCAACTCCATTTCAAGTATCAGACTGTGTGCATTGTTCTCATAAAAAATAAAAAAGCAGTATACCAAATATAATGACATAAATCCAAGTGTTTGTACACCAAACCAGACGAATAAGTTTTTTTTATTAATTTGATGACAGCACTGCAAGATTCTGCACATTGAAGCCAACTAATGAACCACTTGTGTTAGATTTTGTGTTGTTTTGTGTTTAAATGCATGTTTATTAAAAGCATACAGTAGCATGCTCTTACTCAAAAAAGCAAAAATGTACAAAAACATTTTCCAAAATATTTGAGTGCCTGAAAAGTTAAAATACTCAGTAAATAATAATTGATGCTGTCACCTCGACCAAATCCCTGCATACACAGCTTTCTTGCAAGGCATACTGTTTTGGTTTCATTAAACAGCACTAGACAGCAGCTTCCAAAATACGTAAATTGAAACGAGCAATGCTGTCGTCTTCTGGGCTTACTGGAGAAGGGTTTTATTAGCTGAGAGCCTAGAGCTGCAGTTCTCAAGTTTTCTTTGTTAATTTTGGTTTTTGACCTCTTGCTTTGTTGGTTGCTTTATTCCCAGGAGAACATCACTGTCAGGGGATGGAGGGGGAGTTAGGAATTGCTAGTAGAAATCCCTTGGAGGAAAGAGAAAGACCTAATTGTGAGGCAGGAAGAAGAGTAGTAGTAATTGACAAGATTTGTTCGCATTGACCTGCTGCTTTTGAACAAAAATGCAGTTTCCATGCAGGTTTATCATTTCTCTAGCCCACTAGTTTCTGCATTCCTTATATAGATCATGGCAGGTAGATCATTCAGATAGATTATCCAGCAACTTGTCTCACTCTCATTTCTTTCTGTTGGATGTAATCTGTAGCCACTTCTATTTTCTTCTTCAATTGCCTGGGGTGTGTTTTCCTTTCCCAGTTGGACCACTGTATCTCCAACCTCTGGCAGGAACAGTGGTTCTAAGCAGATCACAGTCTCCATTACAAGAGGCTGCTTACTTCCCAAGGTGCTTTGTCTCCACACCACCATCTCCCAGCCATGTCTGGACATTTCATACTACTTTAGAGGTACATATATTGATTTTTTTTTTTTTTTTTTTGGGTTGG